TAAACTTATTGTTTGTTTAGTAGTTGTAAGTAAAAGTTGTCAAATAGGAAAATGTTACTTTAAATTGCTTGAAATATCTAAATTATCAAGCCCGCCAATTTTTAAATCGCTTTAATTAGTAGGGTTCTACTTTATCGACTGAAACTGACAGGTGTAGTTCAACCGTAAGCGCTTAGCGCGCTACTGTCGAGGTCAAGCAAACTTGTTACCAACTATTTACATGGAATCCGACCCCCGTGCGTTCACATATATCAACACAAAAAGTAAAATTATAGGTTATATATTTTCCAAAACACCAAAAAAAGAAGACGAGAACCGCACCAATGTCAAGTTTATGAATAGGATGAATTTATGGCTACGAACAGCAGTCGGCAATCGTCACCGGCATCGGCATTGGCAAAAGCAAACGTCAAGTTTATGAATCGACCTTTAATCCTGTGTCATAAAATTTTATCATTTTCTATAATGAAATTACTATCTTTTACAACAACTAGGCTATAATTGATGTAATTAATTCTCTCACTCATACTCATATTTAAATATTTTTTACTCAAAAAGTAAAAAGGAAATTAAATAATAGGTGGTTCTCTTAGGTTAATTGGGGCTATGACATACTGCGCAAGTCGAGTAAACATTACCCTACTCAACACGGTGGGTAAAATTTCTTCATCCCGACGCGTTTTTCTTTTAAATAGGAACGGTTGGGATAATTCGTCCAGATAAAACGTTCCATATTTAGGAACGGTTTTTAGAATTTAGACAATGTCTGGACACATTTACCCTACATTTCTGAACGCACCCTTGATTTTTCTAATATTTGGACATTTTTCACTTGGTACCTACTTATAATTAAAAATCCCGTTAATTAATTGGATGTATTTTCTTCAGCAAAGTAGCAAATTTGAGCATAAGTAATTGAACCAATAGAAATCTAATTATTAGTTACCTACATTGTTTATTTATCTTTTACCTATCTTGAATAATTTAATACCAAAGCAAATACATATTTATTTTATGTCTACAAAATTGGGCATTCCAACGACCTGTCAAACAATAGGTGCCAGTGGGAAATTCTTGTATATCTAAGGGGGTAGCGACATAGTCTTGTAACTTGGACGCTATTTTTATTCGAAGTAGTACTCGCCAAGCCTGCCAATTTATGAAGAAATGTATAGGTGGGTTTTTTAAATATTATTTTTATTGTGTTTGACATAAAATATTTAAATGTAATCCATTATTCATGATTTTACGTAAAGTAGACAGAATACACCATATGTCGCCACCCTTAGATATACCAAACCTGCCCACTGGTAATTCATTTGTTTGGAATGCCTATGGAGGGTAGAGGAAAGGAGAACAATCTCTGTATACAAAAAGTGTCCCTCAAAATGTATACAATTAAGATGGCGCTTCTGTGCCCAGGGGACGTCGACAGTCGATAATTCAGATCACACAATGACATCAATGATGTATATAGTAATAAATATTGCTCAACCATAAAAAACTACACCGTGAAAAGTGACTGATCGTAAAAGAGTAAGTGTTCTGTGATCGTAGATAAATTTTGACAATACACGACAATAGTCAAATTTTATTGAAAAATAATAATATAAACAATAAATAATTCTTATATTAAAATGGCACGGAGGTCTCAATTTACTGCTTCCTGTCTGATTTAATTATGAATGAGCAATCTATATGACTATATAGCATTGGATTTTGTCCCCTGGCTACACGAGCGCCATCTTAATTGTATACATTTTGGTGGCCACTTTTTAATATAAAGATCCATATAAGATTGTCCTCCTTTTCTCTACCCTCCATAGGAATGCCTAATTAGGCATTCCAACGACCTGTCAAACAATAGGTGCCAGTGGGTAGTTTTCGTATATCTAAGGGGGTAGCGACATGGTCTTGCATCGTGAACGCTATTTTTATTCGAAATAGTAGTCGCCAAGGTTACCAATTTATGAAGAAATGTATGAGCGGGTTTTTTAAAGAATATTTTTATTGTTTGATATAAAATATTTAAATGTAATCCATTATTCATGATTTTACGTATGGTACATAGAATACATCGTATGTCGCAACCCTTAGATATACCAAACCTTCCCACTGGTAATTCATATCTATGGGTAATTCATTTTGAATATTTCTTAGCGATATGCGCAGACTCCAGAATGTCAGTTTTATATCGTTCAGTGAACGTTTTTTGTTAAACGAAGTTATCTATCTATCCGATTATATTCATTGTAGTTAGGTATATAGTTATTTTATTTTCGCGGACTTTCTATATTAGGTAATGTAGTTCGTTCACTAACTTCAGTGGATTTATTTCTACAGGTGAAAATGTTTTTCTAATTACTAACTTATAGTGTTTGTCTATAAAAAAGATAAATACCTATGGCACTGCAATTTCAATAACGTACAAATACTGTGCTTTAAATGCTGAAATGTTATAAATGTCTGATATGGAATGTTTTATGTTTTGTTTGTGTATCTCTTTCTAATAGGTAGGTGTTTGCACAATGCAACGTTGCCAGATATATTTTTATTTCATTGAATTTAATAACTCAGGCATAAGTTTCATTATAAAAATTTTATTATAAAAATTTCATTAAATTAATTTCGTATTTAACATTAAAGGTTAGAATGAAGAAGATAATTTAACATTTTATACCCGCTCGATATGATTTTTGAATTACCCCTGAAACAAAAAAGTACAAGTGATTCGTAAGTGTATATTAGGTACTGGGTGTAAAATATTACTCTTTTCCGAAATACGGGGTGTTATATAATTTTTTAATTTCTCAGTATAATTTTACTAAATTCGGCAAATATTTTATGTGTCATAAGATTCACCTAACAGCCATAAATCAGTTAAATAAACTTTACCAGTGGCGTACGGCCTGGATAAGTAGTACCTTCAACCCCTCTATATTTTCCGTCACTGTCCAAAAACCTATGTAGACTATAATTTTTTGATATCTCTTAAATAAATAATGTACTCGTTTCAGGAACTCAGTGATTGGTTTTCGAGATATTCACACTCAAAAGTGGATACTCTTCATTTTATTTTTTTTTAATTTTGTAATTTTGGATTTTTTATATATTCCCAACAAAAGAAAATAATTTATTTAAAAAACAAAAAAAAATCATAAATATAGTCCAAATAAGTTTTGAAGAATGGCGTAAAATTTAAAAGGAATGAAGGTGTTACTTATTACCCATGACGTACCCCACTGGTAAAGTTTATTTAACGGATTTGTTTGGTGATGTGTGTATCTTATGACACCAAAAACGATTGATTCATATAATTTTGTAAAAGTATAGTCAAAATACATTCTTGGACAGAGGCGTAAAATTTAGACGTGATAAAGATGTTGCTTATCCATGCCGTACGCCACTGGCAAAATTTATTTAATTGATTGTTTCGCTGCGTATTTTATGACACCAAACACGTTTACCGAATTTAGTAAAATTATACCGAGAAATAAAAAAATTATAGCCATTAATAATTGAATGATCAACTTTAACACCCTGTATTTCGGAGTAATATTTTACTCAAACATGTTCCGTCTTATCGTCTTATTTTTAATCAGAGAATCTTCAGTTATTCTGTGTTCCATTACCCCGTACCCTGTATATCATACTTATATAGGATGAGAATTATTTTACAGATCAAGCCCACGTCTTCCATTTTAAAAATTGAAATTCAATGATTTTTTTTGTTTATATGATACAGTTTTTTTAGCTTAATTTCAGTGATATATCCGTACTTGCTCTCTTAGGCTTTATTTAGTTTGTAAAAAAAAATTAAGCTGATTTAATATAGGAATTACGTAATTCATGTAATTCACCCAAATTTAATTCTTTTTTTCTGTGGGGAGGGAGGGGGGGGGGGTTTGCATCAACTTCTTGGCAAAGTACAACATAGAAATATATTAACAAAAAAAACATGGTGGTGAAAAATGAACAAGGGGTTGATTTGAGTTCACTCTCTGAAAAATTTGCTTATCCCTCATGCACTATAATAATTTTAATAATTGTTAATTACAAAAGACTGTAATGCGTTGTTGCAATATTATTATTACAAAAGTGTAGGTCGATTTCATTGTCTATTAGAATGTTTTTAAATAGTGATTTAACTAATATGATTTTGGTATAACATACCGAATCAAGTTGTTTATTAAGGATTATACAAGACATATCCTTACCCCCTTCTAAAAGTACATTCATTATAATCTCCAGAGGGGGCGAGGAGTCAAGAAGATTTGAGTTACTTCAATGGATATTACAAGATATCACTGATACCAGAACTATCTAAAACAATATTTTATATACTGATGAGTCTATTTTAACTTGAAGTATTCAAATATGGAATGTTGAAAATCCTAATAATTTTCAAAAAATCTTGGACTGGCATAATTAGATTGTAACCATTCAATTAAACCCTATTTATCATTCCAAGTAACTTTGCTTTAAATGTGCAGCAGTTTCTTATTGGAATTCGAGATGAATTAGCAGAAATTGACCTACAAGTTGGCCATCTATGTCTCCAGACTTAAATCGCTATGATGTTTTTGTGGGGTCATATGAAACAGTTAGTATATATTGTACCCATTAATTATTTTTTCGAATGGTTAGGGGACAGAATAATTATGGCAGCTGAAAAAATGCAAGAGAATCCAGTTATAATTTCTCGGGCTCCAATTTCTACTTAGCGGAGAAAAAAGATTTGATGGAAGGAAATTTGAGCCATGATTACAGTTTTACTTAATTCTTTATGAAGTATCAACTATTATACCGATTAATATTGACCAGACAACGTCGCATTTTATGTGTAATGACGTAATAACTTATTTCGCGAAGGCTATTTGACGATGTATCGCAAAATATTTACCTTATTTACATTTTCATTTTAATAATTAAACCCTCTATATCGAAAAAATAATTTTTTATTAATTTTAAATAAATTTTATTATCAAAATTCCACCTATATTTTAAAATACAAAAACTATAATAAATAATACATAAATAAAATTATTAACTAATCCTTTCACTCTATAAATACATATCGAATAAATTACACAAAATATTTTACATTCAAACTAAATATTCAATCCTATATTATTAAAATAATATTTAACTTCCCTTCCAACTTTGTCAAACAACTCTTTAACATTCCCGAAAAACTTTTCGATATCCTCGAAGGGTTTCATAGCTCTCGGCATTATTTTTGGAATAAAGGTTGTGTCATTGTTCTTCATTAGATCATCATTTTTCTCGGTGGTTTGATGTTCGTGATGCAAAAATTTAATTTCTGTATCGTCGCCTGCTTTGATAATTTCAAATTCATCGTTATTGGGTAGTTTAAATTTATAGTCGCCGTCTTTCATATTAGATTTGTCGTTATGTTCTTCTGTATTCTTCTCCGTGGTGGTTGCGATATTATTTTCACTCTCAATAGATTTGTTTCCTTCTATTTTTAAAATATTATCTTGTTGGAATGCTGTATTTACGTCAGTCTCTTTGTTGTTGTCGGTTTTATTAATAACTTCAATGACAGTTGTATCCGGTCCAGGTAGTACAGTTTCATCTTTATAATTTTGAATGATTTCTTTCAGTTTGTTATCTCGGTTATTTTTAAAATTGACGTCATGAGCCTTTTCTACAAAAGTATTAGAATCGTAGGCGTCTTTAGTGATTTCATTGAAATGCGAATCGATTTCATTCTCCAACAAATCGGCGTCATTATCGATGAATCTCCTACGTCTGTTTAGATTGAAGGGTCTATTATTGTTAAAGATATTTTTAAAAATATGATGGTCATTGGGCGGCAACATTTTTTTCGGAAAATGAATATCTCTCCTTAGAGATGTTATATCTGATGGTTTCCAAGCTCTCAAATCCGTTGTTATAGGCTGATAATTCCCAAACGTATGTTTAGGATTAAAAATTGATCGTTTCTTTATATTTTTCTTGTTGGGTACCTTCGATCTAGATAATATTACTTCGTTGTTCAATGATTCTTCTCCTTTATCAGATTTTGATTTTTTTTTCTTCTTGGCTATCTTGGATTTCCATTGATTCTTAATGTCGAGTTCCATTTCTTTTTGCTTTTTTATCATTTTATCTATTTCGTCTTTTCTATCTTGAAGTTTCTCTTTTATACTGTTCATCTGCTCGGCGAAATTCTTGTTTTCGTTTTTTGGTTTTGATTTTGATAGTTTTTTGTGGTCTTTTTTGGTATGGTCTTTTTTGTGAAGGTCTTCTTTCTTGAGGTCGTCCTCTTCTTCGTGGTCCTCTTTTTTGCTGTCTTCTTTTTTGCTGTCTCCTTTTTTGTTGTCTCCTTTTTTGCTGTCTCCTTTTTTGCTGTGCTCTTTTTTGCCTATTTTTTTGGGTTTTTTGATATGCTTCTTTGGAGTTTTCGTTTTCTTTTTTTCGACTATCTCTTCCTCAAGATGTTCTATGTCAGTTGTGTCTCGCTTTTTTCGAATTACTTGTGGTTCTTCATTTACCAATTGTGATTGGTTGTTCTGAAAATAATTATGTATCAGTTTTAATTTTACAAATAATTATTGATTTTATTTAGTTAAAATTGTGAAAAATGGAATAAAGATATGGTTTTTTCATACTATGACTCGTGAAATATAGCCTTATAAAACTCGGTTTATTCAGTAAAAATCTTTTTAATTTATAATTTTTTGAATTTCGTAAATAAGTTAATAGATGACAAAGTAGATTTCAAAATAAAGAAATAGAATTATAATTAAAATACTGACCAGTTCTGTAATATCTTCAGATTCTAAAGATTTTGACCACGATAAGGACTGCGAATTGTTATCTGTATCATCGTTTTGTTGACTATTTTTCGATTTGTCATTACTGGAGTTATTTGAACTAACATCTTCAGGCTTAATATCATTAATTTGATCATATTCATCGTTTGCATCAGATATATTATTGTCATTTTGATTATCTTGAATAATAGTATGATAAGATGCATTTTCGTCATCATCATTATCTTCGTTATCTTTGTCTAATATACTGTTCGAATTAGTTTTCTCTGTTTTATTTATTTCTTTGGTAGTATCGCCATGTAGGGCAGGATCGTCCAAAGTTTGTAGATTCTGAAATCACATAAAAAAATTGATATTGTCATATTTTTGTTGCCATATACCGGCACAGGATTATATCTGTATAGTGTGATCACCACATACTTTGATTTTCTTTTACTATACGGAGAATGGTCGCACTGCGCAGCTTTCTGAGTGCCTTTTAAAAGGAGATAGAAGATTCCGCCATTTTGATCCCTTATTACGTGTTGCCTACATCTTGGCGCAATATTTTTAATAGGTGCGTTTTAATCATCCACTTCTGCTTCGGAATAGTCGGTTTTCTTGTTTTAATCTGACAGGTTAAAACGACTAAACCGACAATTCCGGAAGCAGAAGTGGATGATTAAAACGCACCTGATGTTTTGCTTGCTGCTGTCAGTGTCAGTGAATATTATATTTCACATACTTTGATTACTATACGGGGCAAGAGAGAGGTCCGACACGCCCAAATGAAATAATTCTGAAATTATCAAAATAATCACGAGTATATTTTTGTTTTTTTTTTTAGTTTCTGACTTGTTTGGTATTATTAGCTTAGTGAAATTTTAATTAGTTGGTAGTACTATGGCGAAATAGTAACGTCATCAATGGCAGAAGCGGTTTTTCTATTAAAAAGCCTATGGAGTGTAGACACATACTTTGATTACTATACGGGGCAAGAGAGAGGCCCGACACGCCCAACATAGGGCGCGGCCATTTTGATTCCTATGCCACAGTTTATAGCTAAAGAATCAGATCGCTCACTCTGCGTCGGCACTTTTGATCTCAATGTTCCAGTTTATATACTGCGCAACACGGATAATACAATATATGACAACCGCCTATAATAAAACAGCAGTCTTCTGCGTATCCTGAATTTGTATCCCTGGAGTGGATGTTATTTTAGAACTTTCAACTGGCCCGAGTGAGCTAACTGATTCTTTAGCAATAAACTGTGACTCCAAAAATAATATTCACTGACACTGACAGCAGCAAGCAAAATATCAGGTGCACATACTTTGATTACTATACGGGATAAGAGAGAGGTCCGACACGCCCAACAGGTCGCGACCATTTTTAACCCTATGACACAGTTTATAGCTAAAGAATCAGATCGCTCACTCTGCGTCGGCACTTTTTATCTCAATGTTCTAGTTTATACACTGCGCAACTCAGATAATACAATATATGACAACCGCCTATTATAAAACAGCAGTCTTCTGCGTATCCTGAATTTTTATCCCTGGAGTGGATGTTACTTTGGAACTTTTAACTGGTCCGAGTGAGCTAACTGATTCTTTAGCAATAAACTGTGACTCCAAAAATAATATTCACTGACACTGACAGCAGCAAGCAAAATATCAGGCGTGTTTTAATCATCCGCTTCTGCTTCCGGAATTGTCGGTTCAGTCGTTCTAACCTGTCAGATTAAAATAAGAAAACCGACAATTCCGAAGCAGAAGCGGATGATTAAAACGCACCTATTAAAAATATTGCGCCAAGATGTAGGCAACACGTAATAAGGGTTCAAAATGGCAGAGTTTTCTCTCCTTTTAAAAAGCACAAAAAGCTGCGCAGTGCGACCATTCTCCGTATAGTAAAATAAAATCAAAGTATGTGAGTGTAGAGGAAAGGAGGACAATTTCATATGGTTGTTTATCTCAAAATGTGTCCCCCAAAATGTATAAAATTAAGATGGCCTTCGTGTACTAGAAGGGAAAGATCTAATGATATATAATTATATAGATAGCTCATCCATACGTAAATCAGATGACGAAAAGAACTATTGTCGTCGATTATTAAAATTTCTCTACGATTATAAGCTCAGTCGCTTTTCACGATGGCTTTTCATAATGTAGTTTTTATTTTTTAGACTATACCCTTCGAGCATATATACCCTTTTCTCTACTTAACATATATGTATAAGTGTGATCTGAATTATAGACTGTCGGCATGCCTCTGGTACAGAAGCGCCATCTTAATTTTATACATTTTGAGGGACACTTTTTGTATAGAGATATAGTTTTCCTTACCTCCATACTCCATAGCCTATACCTACCAAACTATTTTTTTTAGAAAGGGTGAATCCAATATTAAAAAAAAACTTACATTATGCACTACTTCTATGATTGTGTTTGGTTTTTCGCCTAATATATCTTCATTTGTTTCTAAACTGATTGAACTTGAATTGGTTTGAGTATGGTTTTTTGATTTTTCATCCAATACCGTATTACCATCAGTTTCATGATTTACATTATTTTTTTCTTGTAGTTTTCTAGCCTCTTCTTCTAATTCTTTAATTTCGTATTTATAAAACTAAAATAGAAATATTTTCATTATGTTTATTCAAAATAGTAGTAACAATACCATAGAGCAATTTATTGATCAAAATAGGTACACACTAAAAAACACAATTCAAATTCCTAGTTTAAAACCTAGGTGGAAGGCGAGACATTTTTGAAAAGGTAAATCATTCAAATTTAAATGTAAACAAAATGTAAAATAAAGAAAAAAATACAAATTTCCTTTTTCAAATTGCTCGCCTAGCATTTATTCTACCTAAATTTTGAACTAGTTTCTACAAGCGAGTTAAAAATTTTAAATTGTTTATTATTATCTTTCGAAGTGTATTTATAATAATAATATTGACTGCACCAGAAGATGGACAGTTATTGTTTTCCAAAACATATAAAGTGCTTGATAAATAAAAACTATGTGACCCATACAACCAAGGACCTTTTATTTTTACTACGGTCAGGAAATTATCCTTTTTCATTCACTAAAAGAAAAAAAAACATCTTTTTACTTCCAAGTGGTCCCTGAAATACCCAAAACTCCATTTAATAGTAAACAATGCAATGAAAGAAGGTACCTTTCCACAATCATACGGATGAGAACTGGCCATTGTCTAACCTCATATCATTTATTTCGAATTGGAATTAAAGATGACCCATTTTGCGAGTGTGGACAAGTTGGATTGTTAAATCACATCATCTTAGAGTGCCCCATTAATAAATCTCTCCTTTTTGATCTGTATTTAGAACTAACGAAATCTGATTTATCAGCCCCATTTGATATTCGATACATCTTGTCTCATTTGGATGATAGAAGAATAACCACCCTTTCCAAATTTTTAAATTTATTTAAAATCACTATCTAGTAGAAGCAAATCAACTTTATCTGGGTAAATTGTTCGTAGTAACATAGCCCAAAAAAAGAAAAGAAGAAGAAGAAGAAGAAAGTTACCGTTTAGCAAAAATGAACGTTACGCACCTGATCCTTAGCTGATCATAAATGTTTTGACAACAATCAATTGTTTCGTAAATACATTTCAGAAGTTGTCATAATCATTCGTACATCAGATACATCTTTTAAAATTAAAAAGTAAGAAAATTATCTCGCAGTAACAGAACAATCTTAGTAATTCTATAAATAATCAAATAATGGACAAGAATACCGATCCCAAGAAAAATAGTCTCGTAGCATGCCCAGCCACATGTCCTGGTCATTCACCAAAGGCAAATAAGAAGAATTGCGATTGTGGAAAATCCAACTGCGATTGTCTCCATGAAAATATTAAATCATAAAAATGTATAACATTAATTATATTTAATGAAATAAAACTCAACTTCTGTTAAAAAAATGTAATTTTTTACTATTGCTCAAAACCGTGTGGTATATTAAGAAAACGCAGTATTGTTAAGACAGTAAAAAAATAAAATTGATGATGACAAAGTAAAACGGCTACATAAGTTAGCAAATCAAAGAATTGTTATTTAAAAAAAGTATTATTCTTACCTCTTCTATTTCTGGCATTTCCAGAACTGGATTAAAGAGTATATCTTGTAAGAAATCTTCTGGTTGGAGGTCATCTTCATATTTAGCCATTTCTAAGATGGTAAAACCTACTGACCTTTTCTTGCGAGGTATATCTTTAGGTGAAAATTTATGATTTACTTCTCTCTGAAAAAAATAGGAGCTTTATAAACCTGTGTTACTACTTTAAAAATATTATCGAGGAAACACATTTACCATCGGGGTGGTAGAAGCCAACCAAATGGCCGCTTTCAAAAAGTAAATAATTTTTGAAAAGGACAGTCCGTTTTTCAAGCAAAATGTCCTTGCGACTTTTTGAAGCTTAAAATAATGTCCTTTTGTACGGCATATGTCCTCTTTTACTCTTTGATATCTTTGAAAGGGACTTGGCTTGTACTGGGAGCCTTTTTTTTAGAAGCTCAGTGGTAGAAGGACAAGTACTTTTTTTTAGAAATTCAGTAGAAGGATGAGGACCTTCTGTATACCAGATCTTCTGTCAGCATCATAGTCCTTTATTCACTTTTCAAAAAGGTGGCAACCCCACTTTAGATACCCCCAGAGACAACCAGCAAGTTCTTGACAAGTTAAGATTCACGTCCTATATACCCCTGGAGGATCCACAATGAGCCTAACGAAGCGTAAACACTGTGGAGCAACCCACCCTACCGATACATTGAGATTACCGAGGAAATAATAATTTTAGCTTAAACAGTTTACCATGAAATTCATCCATTTAACCTTAAAATTAGTCCATCTAATCCAATATTAATAAATTAAAATATATTAATATATTTCACTAGTTTCTTGAGTATTTAGTATTCTCTAACTCTAGAAAACACCTAGTGAATTCTGCGTGACAATTTCCTAGTCCAAAAAGTGCCATGTATAAGCCAAATTCTATCTTTTTTGACAAGGGAATTATCGTAAACAAACAATTATCAAAAGATGTACGTTGCAACTATGTCGCAACATAATTATATATCTTAATTTCATTATAATTTGATATTACCATGAAGGATTACCAAAGTGAAACAACATTATTTGAATAAAATTATAGGAAAACTGCATGGACATAGAAGGTAGGGAGACGCTGCCATGTGGTCTAAGACGGTTTCACTTTCGCTATATTGTGTTCACGAATCCGTCAAACAGCTAATAGTGGTTTAAATCAACGCTTTTTAATTTTTATGTCGTTTGCAAACTAAAATAATTATATTTTACATATGAGTTAAACAATGGTCGCTTATGCTCAACGTAGTTGTTATCTGTACCTCTGGTTCTGTGTTGTGAAGTAACGTGTGACGGCGTGACTTTCAATTTGTCATTTAGCGATAGCGTCATTCTGCCATTTAACTGTGATTCGACTCTGTAAGTTTGTGGTTGAATAATATTTATATTTTGCAGTTTACACTATTTTTATCTCTGTGAGAAAGGTGGAAGTTTTCCAGTGAATACTACAAAGCTAAAAGGTTAGTGAATTCATAATGTCTGGCAGGGCAAACTTAAACAAACATATTGGATATTCATATTGATCTGCCATTCATTTTGAATTAGGCATTCCAAACAAAATGGCTACCAGTGGGGTTTGACAGTTGATATGACAAAATTTTGCCCTAGGCCTGGTGATTTGACAAGGTCAATGAAATAGTTACATAGATTGATCATCCATATTTTTCAAAATAAACATAAGCTTATACCTTGAAGTAAAAAAGTGATTTTCATCTTTTGAACTTTAGAGACCAATTGCAGATGGCGCCAGCACCTTTGCTCTTATCGCTAAATTACGGAGTCCGTAAATGAAAATCTCGAAAATAATCGTTTATTCGACAATTACTGGCGGATTTCACCTGATTTTTTTCTGCAAAGTAGCGCTTGGGCTCTCTTAATTGTATTAGCGAATATTCTCTCTCAATTGTATTAGCGAATGTTCTGTGCAATTTGAGTTGCAAATTTACCAGAAAATTGCAAAAATTTATTTTTCCTTGTGTCAAGGTCTTAAATCCCGTTGTTTTGGCTAAAAGCAAATGACAACTTTTAGAGCGTAGTGAATATTCACCATACAATCATTCTAAACATTTTTCGCATTTTTAGCGATTTTTTTTGCAAACTTTTTTCGGAATAACATGGGTGCAGGATTTCGGAAAAAATATTATCATTCGGTAATCCATATGAACCATTGTCACTTCACTTCCCTTTACTTTTTAAACACTACCAATTACAGAATAATATTTTTGTTTCTTTCAGATCATGTAACTGGTTAATAATGATAAATATCTCCAATTTTGGTCAACTCTGCCTGGTGTACATTTCTTTCCCAATTTCCATAATATAAGCAACAATTCTCTCAATCTGTGCTGAAATATCTGAGTCCTTGGGCCGTCTCTTCGGTTTAGCCTTACCAGAAGCTTTTTCAGACAATTAATAGAATGCCAGTCGACAGACTTTATGATATCTTGCACCAACAACTGTGAGGTCGATCCCAGAAATTATTTCTAGCGTCGCTTTATACTTTTCTGTATCAATATGAGCTGTGATCTGATTCAGAAGTGTGGTCTTGAATTATGTGTTAGAAACAAGTACGATGATACGCTTCTTTACCAAACTGCTCTTTCTTTTCTCCTTTTCTATCGAAGCAGGTAACTTATAGAACAAACAATTGTTTTTAAAGTCAAAGCCACTATGGGAGCGCTTCTTTTGTCTCTTCGGGCTCGTTAAATGGTCCAACCGTCTTGAAGAGTGCTTGTCAAACTCGTTGTAATGACTTAATATACACGATGATGAATTTGAAAAACCAAAGTGACTAATAATATAAGAAAAACTGTAAATAGGGCAACATTGCAAATATCAAATCTGGAATCTCCGTATCCCAAAATAGGTGTACCCCAAATTTTGTACAATTAGGACTAGCAATTTACGAGATAATTGGCCATTTCCAGACTTTTGGGCCACTCCGTATACAATATCATGGATCTCGGAGGGGGAGCGTAAAAATGAAGTATATAATTGTAACAACCTATTTAGAACCAAGAACGGATATGGGGATTGACTTATATCAATGAAAAATTCAGAATGCAAGCTTTACTTTGATCTGGTTATTAATCCTCAAAAAATAAAGAGCGAGGAACAAGAAATGGTTAAACAAAAAAGGCCGGTTTTCACTCGTGTGATCAATTTTCCTCATTTCTTGAAAATTATTAGACTCTATTAAAAATAAAAAAATATATTCAAAAAGTAGACCATCGAAGCTTTAAAATGATGTGCATTGGAAATCAATATAACGGATCATAAGATTATAATTCGCGCTTGTTCCGAAGATTCTATGGAACTCCGAAATCGGCTAAAACATGTAAATAAACAAATCAATTTTGTATTAAAACGCAAGAAAAGTATTACAAAAATTTTTTTGAGATCATTCAAGACCCCCCAAGGTGTCATTATAAAGACAAAATCAAAATAAATGACTATTTTTAAAGAAAATATGAATAAATTAATGAAGCAGTCTCTAAATATTGTTGAAAAAAACTTTGATCACTTTTTTAAATATTTTTAGCAAATACAAACTGACTTCAAGTTACATGGAATTGTAGCTACGCGTTTTCCCATTGCGATGAAATTTAAATCATAGAAAAATATCAATTTTTTCCCGAGATATGGAACAATTCGTCCGCCCGCTTACACGTTAATTCATAGAAAGCGGAATTCCTGCAGGTAGAGCAGCAGCTGAAATGAGGGGACTTTTGAGTGCCATTATCTCGAAAACTATTGAATTTTCAAAGAAAATGATAACGGCCATTTTTGTAGATAATGAGCTGATCTTCATTTTTTGTCTGAACAAAAATTCTCTAATTGGCATATTCAGTCAGATATTAGCGGGAAACCCATTTTCCAGGTTTTAGGGGTCCATTTTCAGCCCCTTCCGGTACCAAGAACGCGTTAAGGATTTTCTCGTTTAAAAACACCTGCGATGACTTACAAATTGCGCTATGTGGGAACTCATCAGCGAATTTTCTACAGGTTTGACCCTTCAGTTACTGGACTATAAATTATAACAATATAATAGTACGTTCTGTAACAAGGTTGGAATGCAAATTCGATAAGTGTGGAAGATTCTGAACTCGAGCATAAGAGACCGTAAAGAACCACAGTAGGAGTTGACTATTCGCGATTCAAGCTAAGTGATACGCCCTCTGGAGGAAATTAGTAGGATGACGTTCAGTGTTGCCAGAAGCAGCAGAATTTCGTTACGTCGTCGGATTTAAGTTCTTGAAGAAATGGATAAGACCTCTTATTTAAGAATCAAAATTTGTGTCTAGTAATATGTAATCATACTTTTATTTAAGGATTTTTTTATAAAATCGATTTATTATATTGATTTTTTTTTAATTTCAGTTCATTTATTAATTTTAGTTTTAAAATCAGTCAGAGACAAAATCAGTTCATCATTTGGCAACATCGGCGTTCGTGTTCATTGTTTACATTTTAATTTGTATCAATTACAATTAGAGTTTTTTGTTACTTTTTAGCTTTAAATTTGTTTATTTCTTATAGTATGTGATAGTATTTAAATTAAAAATGAAATCTGCGAAAAAGCCTCCAGCAAATTGCAATCTATATGGTGTTATTGTCAAAATCAAAACTCAAGTATTCATTATTTTTCAAGTGCAAAAACACTATTATAATAAGAATATTATCTAAAAACAGTTAAAAAATCACAAATACAAAATCCCACAACACGTAAATAAACAAACATCCTACTTATACGTGACAAATGACAGACGCGCAAAAATTAATTTGAATCGCGAATAGTAAAATTAAACTTTAAACAAAATTAAATATATAATCTAACTTGTCAGACAAGTTTTATTTAAATTATTTATCAGTTCAGGGGGAATATTATCAAATTCCATATAAGAATCGTTATATTCACCAATTTTTGAATTTAAGTTCGACTTAACAAGCGCCGCTTATATTTATTCAGGCAAACTAAATACTAATACGTCGCGTAGAACTGTCAGTCATGAAATTCATGACTATCTACGATGCGGACGTGGTATTTACAGCAATTTACCAGTATCTATTACATATTGAACATTCTATCTCTAGAGTTGGAATGAAATACGTGTAAAATGCATAAGGGGCAAGTGTTTCTGAATTTTCTTTCATTCTCAAGAGCGACAATGTTTTCTTTATGTTACTATGCCTTCGAAAGAACTGCATTCAGTACTGATCGTGGAGAAAAGCATTTCATTAATGAATGAATATACGGAATTTAATTTATTACGGGTTATTTTTATTACTTACTTTAAACAGTTTTGGAATCTCATAAAATTCGTTCATTTCCTGAACCTCTCCTTTAGCAGAACCCTTCTTTTTTCCACTTTTATACATCGGTCCATAATATTCGTGTATAGAATGTAGATCGTCTTCGATATCAGTGAATTCTTCCGAAGAAGTCAAAAATTGCAATTTATCATCCGCTTTGATCTTTTTCTTTTTGCTTTTTCTTCTCGATGGTTCTACTATATCTAGTGTGGGATGTGCGACTGCAAACGGATCAATTTTTGTTTTTTTATCAAATATAGTCAGTTTTTTGGGTTTAATATAGTCGTCGTTTAGCAATAATTCGTCTTCAAGGTCTTCTGAGTTGGCTAGTTCTGCAAATATTTCACCTGGAACGCAATTAACATTTTAGTAAAAGTAAAATCTAAATATAAAGTGATTCATTGCGCATACTTTAGGGGTAGATAGTGGACAATAAAGTGGATCTAAATACCCTATATTTAATGATTATCTGATTAACTGAAGAAAGGTTACTAACTAATATAATGTGGTTAGGTATCTTATATTTAAAAAAAAAAAAAATTCTAATATACAGAGTATTATTTTGAAGTAAATTCAATATTGTTATTTTTTTTAGTTCTGACCTAGTTTCAACTTTTATTTATACGTTATTCGACACGATACTAGAGAAAGAATATATATTTCTAGTCCTAATTGTAAAAAATTTGGGGTACACCTATTTTCGGATACGTTGTTTCCAGATTTGATATTTGCAAGGTTGCCAGATTTGCCGTTTCTCTTAAATTATTAGTCACTTAGGTTTTTCAAATTTATCATCCTGTATATTCAGTCATTATTGGAATCTCCTATTCAATACGAGTCCAACCATATGTAACACCTATGATTTTATGTAGTCTGGAAGATCTTAAATAAATAAAATAAATCTGGCAACGCCTAATTGTCTCAATAAATTTTTTAATACAAACTATTTTCAACTACATTAAAACGTAACAATTGAAAGATCATAACATTTTTAACATAATGGTTACTTTATCAAGTGTTCAAAATGTGCTCCATTTGTGAGTTGACAGTAGCCTATTCGATGGTAGAATGCGTCTACCACATTTCTCCATGATTGTTTTATTTATTTAAGACCTTCCAGATTACATAAAATCATACATGTTACATATGGTTGAACTCGTATTGAATAGGAGATTCCAATAATGACTGAAAGAGAAACGACAAATCTGGCAACATTGCAAATATCAAATGTGGAATCTACGTATCCCAAAATTGGTTTACCCCAAATTTTGTACAATTAGGATTAGAAATTTACGAGATAATTGGCCGTTTCCAGACTTTTGGGCCTCTCCGTATATGAGGTAAATATAATAAAGAAAATACACAGTGTGATTCGTAAATAAATAAGTAAATGTCAAAAATGGATAAATTGCCCTTTTTCTTGGTTATAAAGAATTAAATGTAGGTTATTTAGAATCACCCATGTACTCCTAACAAGGATGGGCAAAATAATCGATTAGTCGATTATTTTTTTTCCGAGTAATCGATTATTTTAAATTAATCGATTATTTTCGACTACTCAATCGAATAAATAAAATAATGTAATAATCGAAGGAAATCTAATAATAATATAAATATAATCGAAAATAATCGAAAATAATCGAAAATAATCGAAAATAATCGAAAATAATCGAAAATAATCAAAAATAATCGAAAATAATCGAAAATAATCGAAAATAATCTAAAATAATCGAAAATAATCGAAAATAATCGAAAATAATCGAAAATAATCTAAAATAATCTAAAATAATCTAAAATAATCTAAAATAATCTAAAATAATCTAAAATAATCTAAAATAATCTAAAATAATCTAAAATAATCTAAAATAATCTAAAATAATCTAAAATAATCTAAAATAATCTAAAATAATCTAAAATAATCTAAAATAATCTAAAATAATCTAAAATAATCTAAAATAATCTAAAATAATCTAAAATAATCTAAAATAATCGAAAATAATCGAAAATAATCGAAAATAATCGAAAATAATCGAAAATAATCGAAAATAATCGAAAATAATCGAAAATAATCGAAAATAATTGAAAATATTCCAAAACAATCGAAAATAATCGAAAATAATCGAAAATAATCGAAAATAATCGAAAATAATCGAAAATAATCAAAAATAATCGACAATAATAGAATAAAATCCAAAATAATCGAAAATAATCGAAAATAATCAAAACTAATCGAAAATAATCGAAAATAGTCGAAAATAATCGAAAATAATCGAAAATTATCGAAAATAATCGAAAATAATCGAAAATAATCGAAAATAATCGAAAATAATTGAAAATATTCCAAAATAATCGAAAATAATCGAATAAAATCCAAAATAATCGAAAATAATCGAAAATAATTGAAAATAATCGAAAATATTCGAAAATATTCGAAAATATTCGAAAATATTCGAAAATATTCGAAAATATTCGAAAATATTCGAAAATATTCGAAAATATTCGAAAATATTCGAAAATATTCGAAAATATTCGAAAATATTCGAAAATATTCGAAAATATTCGAAAATATTCGAAAATATTCGAAAATATTCGAAAATATTCGAAAATATTCGAAAATATTCGAAAATATTCGAAAATATTCGAAAATATTCGAAAATATTCGAAAATATTCGAAAATATTCGAAAATATTCGAAAATATTCGAAAATATTCGAAAATATTCGAAAATATTCGAAAATATTCGAAAATATTCGAAAATATTCGAAAATATTCGAAAATATTCGAAAATATTCGAAAATATTCGAAAATATTCGAAAATATTCGAAAATATTCGAAAATATTCGAAAATATTCGAAAATATTCGAAAATATTCGAAAATAATCAAAAATATTCAAAAATAATCGATTAATGCAACAACTTTTTTGAAAATTAGACGATTAATTTTTTTGAAAAATTGATTATCGATTAGTGGGTTTTTTATTAAGCGAAACTAACCGATTAATCGAAAATAATCGATTAATAGAAAAAAATAGAAAATAATCGATTATTCGAAAATATTAATGTATTTTAAATAATCGATTATTTATTTTGGTAATAGAATAGCCTATCCCTACCCCTAACATTTGCGCATTTCGCACTAAATCTCCCTGTATAAACTACCTAACAGAATATCTTCACAACTGTTACGAATTCATTTCCTACCTTGATTCACCTCTTCATGATCATCATTAATATCTTCAGCAACCCGGGCATGTTCCAATTCTTCTAATATTTCATCGCTCGTTTGACCGGCTTTGCGTATAGTTGCTTCAATATCTTCTTTGTTTTCGATTAAATCTTTTGATTTTTTAGCTTTCTTTGACTTTTTAGTTTTGGTTTTGGTCTTCAAGCCATCAAAATTAATATCCCTTTTAATTCGGTATTTAGATTTCAGCTCATTAATTTTGTCTAATAAATTTTCTTTGATTAAGTTAGAATTACCCAAGAGGTCATCTTTTTTGTCTTGCCAGAATTTTTTGTGTTCCGCTATTTTTGATTTTAAGTCTAGCAAATCAAAGTTGATACCCCTTTTCTTTAGCGGTTTTTTCACTCTACGAACATCTCTTTTACCTCTTATTTTATGATTCTCCATATCTTGTTTTTGGTGGAATGGTTGATTTTCAAAATCGAAGGGTTGCTGATTATTTTGACTATATTTTTCTAGCATATGTCTATTAATGTCTCTTTCCTCTCTGTGTTCTTGTGGTAAAGATCTTTTATCTTTTTGTTTATTGAAGTTTTTACTGGCCTTACGAATTAGTGCTTCCAATTCTTCATCTGTGAAAACTATGTTTTTCTTAGCGGCTCTTTCGATAGCTCTATCTTTTAAAATTTTCTCCATTTCATCGCTAGTTAGATCCATGTTTTTAGGTTTTTGTTCGATTTTTGGTGTTTTTGATTTATCTAGTAGAAATTTCTTTAACCCTTCTCCTTTCTTTTGACGATCAAGAGCCTTTTTGTGTTTTTCTGCAAATTTTACTCTATCTATGAAATGTTTTCTTCCTTTTTCATCTATTTTGCCATCTGTTTTTTCTAATCCAGGCGCTTGTTGGCTAAATATGGTAGATCCAGATTTAGATTTTGTCGCATCTTTTTTGTAATACTTCTCATCTGATTTCATTTCTTCTTTTAATTTCTGCATTATTTCGTCCAAAGGATTATTCCTGCTGAAAGAAGCTCTAGAACCCAATTGTAAGGCTATTTCAGCCGATAGTCCATTGTTTTGGTTTTCTTCTATTTCTTCAAGTAACAGTCGTCTCTCTTTCTCTTTGTCTATGCAAACTGGGATTCTCGCACCCGGAAGAACGAAAAATCCGATAGATAAGGGTGGAAGAGAAAGTAATAAGTGCGAAGTTGTCTTGGTTCTCCGTATCTTTGGTTCGAAAGGATTTTTTTCTTGCAGAAGTTTCGTAGTTAGTAGCTTTCCGTTAAGGTAGATGTTGCTGAAATAGAAGAAAATTTATCTTACTGATATTTGGAGATATTTTAATTATTTTACTTACGTTGAATTTGTTGTATCAGATGTCAAAATATACGCCTGAATTTCCATTGATTTTTCAGGTAAACTATTACCAAGTTTGACTTTAACTTTGTACTTGTTTGGACGGTTGTTGACTACCAAGATGGTCAAAGCCCCTCGTCTGACGAAACTGTTCTGTTTTCTGGTACAGTGTGCGAAAATGTCCGTTTCTTCTTGAAATATCGAAGATTTCGTATCCAAGACATGACATCCCATAAGTGTTTTGTGCAAAAGTGAAAACCAGTAAATCTAGACAGAGAATTTCAATTAATTATACAACTACTTGAAGACAATTTTAGTATATAGGGTGTCTTATAAGTTTTCTAAAAAGGCTTATTATAATATTTTTTTTGTTAAAAATTTGAAGGATTTGAATTGAACCCACTTTAATACATTGTGACAATTATTCCAAGAGAAATAAAGCATTTAAAGAACACTGCCTTCTGTTGTGACCATTGTCAAGATCAGGATTGTTTAATGTAAAACGATAATGATTGTTATAATAATTACTCCGGAAAAAGATGAATAATAAAATGGCTGCATCTATTAACACAACAAATACAATTGTCACACCACCACTCCACTTCATTAGTAGAGTCGTAGATTTTTTTAAATTGAGACTTTCACCTCACATAAGTCTATTGGAAGCTTTATTTTCCCCATGACGTGAGATGGTTTGTTGATATAATTAGACTACTAAAGTTTGGCTCGGGATTTGAACCTCGGATTAATCACATGACAAAGAAAAATTGCAAAATACCCGGATTAGACATTGAGAAATGAAAACAAGAAAAAAGTAAACTAGAACCAAGTACCTATATAATTACAGACTACATGCATATTATGAGAATTATGAGAAAATTGAATACAAACATTGTAAATAGATTTAAAGCGGGTTGATTCATGTGGAGATAAGCTAATGTTTTACAAATTATTAAAAAAAAAAACAAGAAAGTTTTATTGTACAGTTCTTAGACCAGTCGTGATGTACGGATCGGAATGATAGACACCAAGGAAAAGACACTAGTAGAAAATACAAGTTGCTGAAATGAGGATGTGCAGTCATTACCGGCGTATCTGTGAATAGCTCATACACTCTTGGTTGCCTGAAGATTACGTTGTATCCCATCTTAGCGGCATTTCCAACTTGTTTGGCCCACAATAGAGCTGAACCAAATGTAATGGGTTTTGAAGATTTTGGAACCGTGGTCCACATTTTTGCTCTTGGTTTTGCGCTTTGATGAAGGAGGATTTTGTAAGCGGCGTCCTTTTCAGGAAAAGTTTCCAATGTTCGTCCACTACTGAAATAGTCAATAAAAAACACAAAGTTAAACAAGAATTTAAAAATATAAATGTTTAATATATCAATTTTGAGACAGTGTGGCTTGTCGATTTTCTGAATAAATAGTTTTTTTAGTTAAATAGTTTAAGGTAAAATATTAAATATTTATCAAAATATTTGTAGTTCTGCCTAAATTCAATCGTTTTTTTTTTTTTGACACAAACAAAAAATTATCAATGGGACACCTAAATATCATATCTAAATAGGCTACGTATTTTTAACCTTTATATACTGCGAATTCTTAAAATTTCCTTACTAATATTTTTGTACGTTTACATTGTTTAGGATACAGTCATTCGTGTATTTTTAGTTGTTCAAGAGTATTTGTAGTGTTGTTATATCACTTGTGTAACAATGGTCATTTTAAACATCTCTTGCAACTAATATAATAACTATACAAGGAACTTCCTCTCAGTGAAACCTCGAAAATTACCTTTTAACATTATTATTCGGATGTTATCAGGGCCGACGAGGAGGGGGGATCCGGGACAAATGTCCAGGGAGCGGCAGCGGCGTAAGGGGCCCGGCAGCGGCATAAGGGGGCAGCGGCAGCTTTAGAAGTTCGTCACAAGAGCACCAGAGAGAGGACCTTTTTTAATTTTTTTAAAAGATTTAACTAACGATGGGGAGAAGTTTTTGCTTGAACACTTTTTTTATTGTAAGCTTATTTTTTTTTATAAAAAAGTCGCGAGGCCCGAGACCTGGAAAATTGTCCGGGGCCCGACCTGGCTCTCGGCGGCTCTGGATGTTATTATCTTTAACAACTATAGGTGTGAATTATTTATCACCATATCTGTATTAAATATGCTGTTCGACAGGTATTTCTAAAGTTACGGTCGTGTGTGTCTTCCTAGACATAGAAGGAACATTTGAGAATACGCCACACGAGTCTGTCAAAATAGCACTTGCATACAGAGGAATAGATAGCACCACATCCAAATGGATGGCTCAGCTGCTATCTATGAGAACTTTAGAGACACAGATAGGACAGGACACCATCTCTATCTGCACAACCAGAGGATTTCTATCTCCACTAATATGGAGTTTGACCATAGACGAACTTCTATGCAGATTGACTGACCTCGACCTGTCAAGGTTATGCCGACGACATAGTCCTATTTGCTAGAGGCAAGTTTGGAAATACCCTGTGTAATAACGAGGACTAGAACATACCAAAAGGTGCTGCCGTGAAGTGAGACCCTACAAAAATAACAGTAGTGGCCTTTTCAAGGAAAAGAAAATTAGACAAAAACTTACATGAGAAGGAAGTAGTAAATAAGGCCACAAAAGCTTTAATGGTATTGCAGAAACATTGCAGGTAAACGACGGGGATGTAGTTCGAACATACTGCGATGGTTGTATACTGCAATAGTGAGACCAATCATCACTTACGGGGCTATAGGTTGGAGTAACAGAACTAGTTTAGCTACTACGAAAGCTAATATCTCAAAAGTACAAAGACTAGCCTATATTTGTATCACCGGTGCAATTAGAACCTGTCCTATGGCCGCAATGAAGGTGATATTAAACCTCACCCCTCCACATTTAATGATAATGTGGCAAAAAGGACACGTTATAGAATAATCAGAAACGGACTAATCAGACGAAATTCTACTAGCTTCAGAACCGAAGATATTTGGGATGTGCCCCAAGATGAAATGAGAAAGTGCAGTTTTGAGAAAAACTTCAAAACCACAGAGCTGGGTCGCAAGCAAGAATGGAGCCAAAAATCCAACGTTCTTGCAACCGAAAGACATGCTATTCAGTGGCATACGGATGGTTCCAAAATCATAGAAAAAACTGGGATAGGAGTGTATGGGCCTAGAAACAGGCACTCCGAAAACTTGGGAAAATACCCAAGCATCGTCCAGGCGGAAATTCACGCAATCGAAAAGTGTATTCAGTTTATCATTGAGAGAAACTATCGTAGACAATAGATTATTATCATGTTCGATAACCAAGCATCCATAAAATCGCTGAACTCTTACGTAATCAACTCAAAAATGGTCTGGATATGCCTAGTAAAATTCAATTAGATAGGCGAGAAAAATACAGTTACTCTCACTTGGGTCCCGGGACATAACGGGGTACAGGATAACGAGATTGCAGATAGTCTCGCAAAGAAATGAGCTCAAACACCTTTTGTGGAACCTGAGCCGTTCTGCGATATCACCAGTAACACAATATTAAGAGAGATTAAAAAATTGGAATAATCTCTTGGGGCTAAGACAGGCTAAGATACCTAAGAACAGACTACGCATTTTAATAGGGATCCTTACTGGGCATTACCAACTGAGAGTAGTAGAAGATAATGAGTGCAGTTTCTGTGAGAAGGACGAGGACGAAACCTCCATTCACATTCTGACTGAATGTGTAGCACTCCAAAATCCAAGGACATATCAAAACATATCAAATAGAAGTTGGAGATTTGCCTTACTTGAAGGTGAAGCCACTCCAAATCCTACACTTCTTTGAACAGACAGGATTGGAAGAGTTGTTATAGGCAGCGACACATTTCCTGCTGCTTTAGCGACAGAAACGGGAACAAAAATCATTTAGGTCGCAGTGTATTCACACTGCATTCCCAACATAACATACGATCTATATATTTTGATTTATTCGAAAGCCACACCCATTTTTTATTCACAATAATTGCTTGAGTGGCCCCCATCCTCCCGCTTCCCTACGTGCGATGCTGAGGGAAGAACCTACAGAGCTTTGGAGTGTTTTGGGTCCTTTTCTCTACTGCTACTGAATGATATAGAGAAAAGGATTTGTGGTACGTTATCTTTAATATAGACGTAAATGTATAAATATAACGTTTATGTTCAAGTCCTAAATTTGAGTTGAAATAGTTAAACGTATCGTGACATTTGCGGACCGTTGAACTGTAGAACAATCGACACATTAAAATAACTAAAGAAAAGAAGAATTTATCTAAAAAGCCATCTATTAGGATCCGTCTATGGATTTAGCCCATAAACTCCTCATAATAAATATAAATCGAGATTTTCTGTAAACCGAAATCTACTATTATTATTTTGACAAATAATTTCATTAATTTGAGAAGATTACTGTTAAAATTGGGTCATTATTATCATCTAACATCACTACTATTAATTTTCTAAAATCGCTATTTGTTCTGCCCAGAGATAACAGAGATATAACCATTCAGTGATAAAATATATTATTCACGTTGCTAAGATTAATTCGACAATCGATACACTCAATTTGTAAGGACGCGGCGAGGTGACGAAAGGTGAGAAGTAAGAGAAGAATTTTACGCATATACAACTTATTTTAATCATTGAATAAATGTGTAAGAGTCTGTGCGCTTATACTAAACAACGTAAATATCCATGCCGGAGTAAGCCCTGTTGCCACTTCCAACCTAACATGACTAGGTTTTTTAATTTATTTAAACTTATTACAGCTATTTTAGTGAAATTACATTTTATTTAGTTAAATTTGGTTGAATTATTTTAGCTTTTTTAATATATGTAAATAATTTTGTAAACAAAACGAGAATAATGAAATAGGCATATGACAACAGCCTATCCCTTAGAATATGTCTAATTCATGACCGCACGATATTTGTTAGTAGTTACATCTCCTTGTTATCTCTGGTTTTGTCTCACCTTGTAGAATGAAAAATTGAAAATTTAAAGTTTGTAGTAAAAGTTACAGTGCCCTGGTGTAACTGTTACTTTTTTTAACGATTTGTGACCATTAATTTATAAAAAAAACTTACGGTTCCCACATCACTGCTTCCAGGACGTCGTTTTCTTCTATCATTATACTTTCCATACGATCTGGTGGCATCGAACTGATATCACTTCCAATAATCTTCCATGTGTCGTTTCTAGCACCATATGCGGTCAAAATATAATGGAAAATATTTATATCTTGCTTGTATCTTGTTTCGTTTTTATCAGTAGAATCTAAAAAAGAAGTACATAGAATTTGAATTAAATAAAATATCAGTTTGACTATCTGACTGTAAAAGTTTTAAATATATACAATTTTAAATATATTGGAAAATCTTACCATATCCAAGTTGCCAGTAACAACTAACATTCAGTTTTTCAGCGATCTCAAATAGCGGTAATGTAGTTTTTGGATTCCACAGCCCTCTGGCGGTTTCCACATCATTTACACCAAATATAGGTGTTAGTTTGGCCAGTTTCAGCCATTCGTTAACTCCGAACCAAACTGCTGGAGTAATTTTGACACTGTTTCCGTCGTCCGAAAGGAAATTCCCGGATCTGTCATCTTGATCTACGTATTTGACGAACTGCGTTGAAGGTCCGGCAATTCTTATGTAAGCAGGATTTAATCGTTTCGCCAATCGTAAAGAATTTTCACTAAAAGAGAAGAAGGCATTTAATTTGTTTACTTTTTCTTATAGAACAAAATAAAAATTAAAAGACTGTATTCTCTATGAGAGTTGGTAATTTTATAAAAGCCAACAATCATAATCAGAAATATTCAATTTAAAACGAAAAGTGGAATGCGACAAGATGATTCCCTATAAATTTTGTTCTGATGGATAAAGAAATAAAAAACACCAGTGTCTAGCATATGCGGATGACTTAGTAATATTAATAAGAAACAGAAGAGAAAACACTGAAGTCCTGAAAAAGCTACAAGGCGAAAAGGGTTAGATATTAGATATCAATTCATACGTGACACAGTACATGTTATTGAGGTCGAGGATTGAATAATAATGTAACCTGACAAAATCTCTTGGGAAAAAAAGCTTATAATTCAAAGAATGTCAATAATACAGCATTAATAATAGAGATGAAGAAACTGAAGAAAATAGTGAGAGGCTGACCAACGAAAATATGAGTGCTGGGGCGCTACTAAAGTAATTAAAATTAAATGCAATAGGGGAAAAAAAGAAAAGAGTATACCAAACTATAAAACCTGTACTATTATACGAAACAGAATTATGGGAAATGAGGGCAAAATTGAAGAAGTAGAAGTATGGGAAAGAAAGTTATTAAGACGTACATATAGAGTGAAAAGGGTAGATCAGTGAGTAAGTAGAACGAACTGAGAAATAAATGATTTGTATGAGTCTCCTGATAACATCAGTAATAAAATTACAAATAATAAGATAGTTTGGTCAAGTATAAAGGCTAATAGAGAAAAGATTTGCAAATAAAACACTGATAAGAGACACTACTGTCAAAAAAGAAAGAAATGCCAAGACAAAAACCAATAGATGCAGTGGGAAGCTTTTTTACAGAGAACAAGTGTGCAATAGAATGAGAAAGAAAAGAATAGGTGAAAAAAACATTCCAACTAAAGTCTTAAGCCTGCATAGCATGAAGCGCTGAATATATTGATGGTTATGATTTTGTTAATGGACTTCTGATGTCATGTTTCTGTTCTGTATCATTTTAATTCAAAACGGTCTTAGGGTTCTGACGTGAATGGTAACGGGATTGGAAAATCTAATTTGAAATTGTTACAAGAGTTATAAAATATAAAAAATATTGATGGGATTTTATGTTATATAAGAAATAGAAGTTAAATAAAGTTACAAAAATATAAATGGTAAGGAAAGTATTTTTTGAAGTAAAGAGAAAGGTGAATCAGATGGTAGGAAGGTGAATTGACCAGAAGGAGGAGTAAAAGTACGAGGAAGAAGTAGAGGAAAACAATAGCAAATCAGGTGGAGAACAGGAGCAGAAGGCAGAAAGACCGGAGAAAGAATCCAAGCGGAAGATTTAATTTATTTTTTATATAAATTCAGAATTCTTATTTTAGTATTGATTTGGTTTGAAATTCTTGTAGGAAGCTTTTGGAGCTACAACCCTTAGTGGTCGTAGGATAATTGAATAGTTCTACCTTTTCTAGGGTGGAACCTTTACAACGTGTGGGGCGAAAATTTGGCAGCAGCAGTTCTACCCTTGCTATAGTGGAACCCTTACAACGTGTGGGACGAAAATTTAGTCGCAGTAGGAGTGATGAAAGCAGGACAGTAAGGATTGGTAAGATAATTATTCTAGTTATTGTAATACACTTGATCCTTGTGTGTTTGTTGTGTAAAAGAGGTAATTTGAAAGATTGGGGATACGTGTTTAGGAAGTAATTAAAAATAAAGTAAATATAAGAAATTAAGAAGTGGTACGAAGATGAAACAGATAAGTAAAGAGGAGAGTTTCAAATTAAAGAAAAGACAAATTAATGTAAAAAGAAAATTAATGTTAAAGGATATGTTTCAGATATTAATAATGCAAATTGAAGAAATAAGTGAAATTAGGGAAAATTATAGACGAGAAATTAGAGAAAGTAGAGAAGAGTATTAATAAAAAATGAGAGAAAATATGGAAGAATAAACGAGAACTTGCAAATAACTTTGAAGAGAATGCAATGAAACTGCTAGACAACACTGGTGAGAACATGGAGAACTTGGGAGAGGAGATGGAGAAAATAAAGTAAGAATTGAAACAATTGAAATACATTGAAGATAAAGAAAAGGAAAATAAAAGTGTAGAAATAAATAAAGAAGAAATGGATGTACAAAAGAAAAGATGAAAAGATAAAAATAGAAGATATAAAAATAGTAATTGAAGGAGTTAATGTAGAAAAACAGATTTATAAGGTTAAAAAATAACTAAATAAGAATAAAATTATTAAAAAAAGAGATAAAAAAGTAAAAATAGAATTACTGGAAGAAAAAGAAGTTAATAAAGAAAAATAAATTTATAATGGTAAATAGGAGGTACATCGAGGGGGAAACCAGTAAGGTTAAAACGTACCCTAAATTTTTTTTATGTGATTTCAGTGCTCTCGTTAAATATCCACCTTAATTTTATGCGATGACTTTTTTTGACTATTTCCTTGTCTTTTAATCCACAAGCTGTTGAATTTTCGTTTTATGAGCAACGAATTGATTTTGAAGTGATTTTGGCGATGATTTCGACCATGATTTTCGATGATGATTTCGGAAATTTCGAGATAATTTGTAATGATTTCGGTAATTTCGAGTGAAAAAGTATCAATATATCGTGAGTGGTTTACTCCTGGAGGTAAACATGTATAAAAGTTGCAGAAGAAAATTAAAGGATTAAAAAAAATATGAGCAAAAAATAAAGAAAAAAAAACCAAAAAGTCAAAAGAACAGTAGAAAACAAGATAAAAGTAATAAAAAGAAACAATATAGGGTTAAGATGAAGAAATATATTGGCAAAGAATAAAAATAAAAGTAATTAAAATTTGAAATAGGAACGGGTAGAAAAGAAATAACAAACTATTAAATTGAAGTGATAGTAAAATAAAAGTAATGCAGACACATGAATGGAAAACTAACGGAAAAGAAAAATTAAATGGAGATAAAAGTGAAATAAATGCGATACAAAAATAAAAGAAAAAATAGGATAGGTAAAGGTGAATATGTTGAAATAATGAAAAATCGAAGGTTGACTAAAAAGGAGAGAGTGATGACAAAAGGGAAAGAGAAGATATAAAATTTTGAATGAGGAATGGAGTTCTATAATGTGAACATTACGATAATATGGAAATTGAGAAAGGTTGATAGAACATGAATGTGAAGGAATGTAGTAAAGAAAGGTGTGAATTAAAATTTATAATTTTGGGTTTGTAAAAAATGATGAAAGGTAAAGTACATTCATTTTTGATAAACCTCGCATACGACTCATAAAATTTGATAGCTGATGGTAGAATTTTAGCTTCAGACAGTTTTTATGAAGAATACATTTTTCCTTAAAATTAATTAAAAAAAAGTTATTCATTAAAAGTTTTTCATGACTTAAAACCTAAAAATCAATGATCTGATACCAAATTTTATCAGTTGTACACGAAGTTTGTCAAAAATAAAGGTACTCTTTGGCAAAATTTTTATTTTTTGACACACTTGACGTTTTTAAGGTCAAAATTGTATTGTTTGTTACCATAAAAAAACAATGTTAATAATATATTTTTATTAAAAAATTTCAAAAAAGAATAAACCAATATTTTATTACGAAGGGGCCAAATTTAGCATTTATGAGCGAACATATTGAATATTACATAATGATGAAAATTTAAAAAGGTTTCAAAGAAAGATCTTAAGGGGCCTCCATTAATTACGTAAGGTATTTTTAAGAATTTTTGATCCCCCCTTCCTCCTGGTGAGATTTCGTAAGATTTTCCTCAACTGTCTTTCTCTCCCCTAATCTCACGATTTTTCAAAATTTCTACTACTTTTATTTAACACTAGCATTTGAGAATATTGCCGTAATATAAAATTTTTAGAAACATTTTTACTTTAATTTAACTTTTTTGCAATTTTACACCGTTTTTTACTAGAAAAAAATTACGTCAGATTTACAAAGACCCCTCTCTCCCCCAAGTGAATTTTGGAAAGATTTAGCTTGATCCCCTTCCTCCTTGAACACCTCACATAATTAATGGACGCCCCCTTACACTTTATTGCCCTTATACCGAGGGGTGCTTATGTCTAACCCATTTTGTCAAATCGTTTATTTCAAAGAGTATGAAAAACGCCTGGTCAATTTTTAAACTCATCGGAGTATTTGACGGTATCAGAGTTTCGATATTCCTATGAACTTTCATCAGGTGATAGCAACATCTTCAATTTTTTAAATGGCATTTATTTATGGTGAATTCAATATGACTATTCATTGCGTTACTTTTGATTTTCACGCCCTCTAGCGAGTTAAAAACTGTTAGATAAATTTTGTAATGTGTGACACTTCATTTGAACGTTGATTTTGATAATCCAATACAATACATAATATTGACCTAAATATCTCCATATTACACTTTCAATAAAATAAAGTTAGTAATAATACAATCTGTTTTTTATTTTAAGTTCATTTTTGATTTAGTTAACAATTATGTGATGCATTGAATTACTAATAAAATTATCTTTTAAATGAAGTGTCACATTTTATAATACGTAATGATTTTTATCCCACTAGAGGGCGCTAAAATAGTAGATAGTATATTAAAATTATACACTTTGATAGGTAAAATCGCTCCCTAAATTATGCCCACTCGACTTGTAGATTAAATACCAACTATAAAGTTTTTAAATGTCATGGGCGCACCAGAATTTTTCCAGATGCTTTATTTTGTTTAATTAAAGTAAAAATATGGGCCCTACATATTATTTAAGCTTATTCCCAATAATTGGTTAATATAAGTTGCCATTTTTCATTATGTTTTTTAAATAGCCATTTGGCAATTTCTGCACCAAAACTAGTCATAGGTTAGAGGATATTTCTATAAAAAAATGGAATGATTCTTACCTTAAATTTACTCCTGCTAACAGCACAGCTGGATCCACAGTTATACTAAGAAATTTTTCACTTACACATTGTACTGCTTTTTTAACGTTAATATTACATGAAACCTCTACATTTTCCTCCGCCGATTGTACAAAATTTAAAACCCAAAAAAATAAAAATAGACAGCTTACTTTCCTATTAGACATTTTTCGAACAGCATTAATATTTTTAGTTAGAAAAGTTTTAGTAGAAAAAAAAAACAATTTAACAGGTTGGTGACCAAAACTGCTGTGAAAAAATTGTTTAATGTTCGGTTCAATGTTAGTTAGAAACGAATTTAACACACTCAGCAAAATTGTTATTTGAATAAACATTTTTGACCTCATTAATTGTAGGACACTTACAATTTTAAAAAACAAAATACACTGGAAAGTTAAATAAAAAACATTTTTGGTGGTGCAATTTTATACTGAATGTTTAATTAAATATTACATTTAGGTTCACTATAGCCAATAACCTATCACAAAAATTCTTTAAATAATATTTAAAAAAATTCGTATGTCAAAGTAGCTACTTTTCATGTTTGTCTTTGCTTCATAATAATTTCTTTACTAATGAAATAATTTGGTTTTCATTTGTAATTTTTCATTCTGTTTTAAACTGTGAAGTTAAAAGTTTAATATAGGTAATAGCTAAATATTTACTCTTTTAAGAATAAAATTTAAAAAAATAGGCATTACTTTTACTGAAACAGTCTCTATCGTCCGAATTCTCTCAATGATAGTCCTAGTTTCATCTTCATTATACAATTTTAATGAAAACTATTCACCCAATATAATTTTAAAGATGATGATTTTCTGAAAAATATATAAAAAAGACAAAAAAAAAAATAGTAGAGAAAGAAAAAATATGACCTGTCTGCAAAGTTATCAAAAATATTAAGTACGGCCCACCTAATCAAAAACTATTTAGTATATGAATTAATGTGAAAAATTATTCAAAACCTTTTTTTCAAATCTTTAATATCAACGAAAATACTGAATTAGTCAAATTTTGCATTTTCTTCAATTTCTCCGTAACGGTCCATTTTAGAGATATTATGTAAAGGACAAAAATTATAGAGAATGGTATCACAAATAACTTTTATGGATTTTTATAGATTTTTATTGATTTTTATTGATTTTTATTGATTTTTATATATTTTTATTAATTTTTATTGATTTTTATGAGCTTTTACAATCATAAATAACAGAAATATATTTAAAATTACATAAAGTAATTTCTCCATAAACTACCCTTCCAGATACTCCGCCTATACCCAAAATCAAATCTGCTCATTGCAGGATGGATTAAAGCTTATACTGTGAGAGCTAGTAACAACGAGACCTACGTTATAGTATGGAGATTAAGATTTTTAATGTAGGTATATATTCACTTGTGTCTTTCCACTTGTTCTTTTGGCAAGGTGATGGACCATTGATTATAGTATGTTCAAATTTTGTGACGTTGAAACGCTATATAGGAATAATCGTTTGTTGACAAGTAGAGGTGTTTTTCAGGCTCAGTAGTTAGATCTCACAGGGGTTGGTGTCTTGAATTTCTTGTATCTCCTGATTGTTACAGAAGTATATTTTTGGCAAGATTTTCTTGCAATAGTCTTATTAATAACTATAAGTATTTATGTTCAGGTAAAATTACCCTGAACTGACTCTTTTCAACAATGGGAATTGGGTATATGTGATATAGATCGAAATCAGTAGAAAACAATTTAGAGAAATCATGTAAAAAACAAAAATTATTATAGAGATCGATATCGCAAACAACTTTTAGTTTAACAATTTTGTTAAAAATCAGAATTTTACACATTTCGTCAAATTTCTCGAACCATTTTAGCAAAATTTTGAGTGAGGCACAAATTATAGAGAATAATATTAGAAGTAACTTTTCCTTGAAGAATTTTCTTCTCCAAACGTAAATAACTGATAATAATATATTCCATAACATATAAAAACGACTTTATATAGTCCCCTCTCCCCAGATGTTCGGACTCTGTCAAAAAATCTAATCAGTTCACCGCAGGCCAGAATAAGGGTTAAAACTTCTCTTTATCCGTTTTTGAGTTTTCTTCAAAATTCGAAATTTACACATTTTCTTAAATATCTCGAATACGGTCCATTTTACAGAAATTATATACGGAACAAGAATTATAGGAAATAATATAACAAACAACTTTTTCTGAACAATTTTTTTTTAAATTCTAATTTTTACATTTTGTAAAATTTCTCGAATACGGACCATTTTAGGAAAATTTTGCAAAAGACAAAATTATAGAGAATAATACAAGAACTAACTTTTAATTGAACAATTTTTTTCTCCAACATAAATAACAGATATATTCCATAAAATATAAAAATGATCCCTATAAAGTACCCCCAGATGTTTCGACTCTGTCCAAAATCTAATCAGTTCACCGCAGGTCCGAATAAAGCCCAAGTTTAGAGTTTGGTGATTTTCTTTTTATCCGTTCATGAGTTATCGAGGATACAGACACACATACGCACACACAGACATCCTCGCGAAAATAGTCAGAACGGATTCAGGGGACACCAAAACGTAAAAATCCGTCGAAAAGTCGAGGTAAAAAAATTCATGATTCCTATACTTTCCTTGTCTGTATTCAAATAGGAAAGTAAAAATAGATCCTAGTCCGTTTATGAGACCGCGTTTGAGTCTCTTTGGATGGGGAATTATATTTAATAATTTATATTTTAGCTTTTCTTCCAAAAATCCTAAAATTTCTAGATAACTCGAACTTTCTTTTAAATACGTTTTATTCACATTAATATTGTGTGAAAGATGTTAATTTTGAAGTTTAAATTTTCAATTCATTGATTTCTATTATTAAGGGTCTAAATCATAATAATGAATTAACTTTTAATAATATTTATTGACTTTTGCTATACCAAGTTTAACTGGGATTATTATGCCAGGATTGCCGGATACATTACTTATTTCTATTCTTTCCCTGATTCCGAAGATACCTGGAAAATTACCTTTAGCATTACTTAACTATGAAGATGGACCACTAGATTTGCGATTTTGTCTTCTTTGAGAAGATCTTCGTGAATCGGGACAATATCATTCCAAATTCCGGATTCAATTATTGAGCCGGTTCCTTGATTTTTAAGGAGCCGCTAACACAACACATTTATTTCGCGAAATCACCTTGTATAGTGTTCAAATCGGTCAATCGTTGAAATGAAAAAAATCACTTCGATACGTAAACTAAAAATCCTACTGACTGCGCCAAATAACTTTCTACTTATCGAGTCGGTGGTGTAGCGGTCTCACGCGCTTATATTCATTTATAGGCAAGTTTTTGGTCAGATACAGAGGGACTTCGGATCCTACACCAGACCATCAGAATTTTTAATTAAATTGCATGGTTCGGTATAGGATTTGATGTGTGCCGTATTAATAGAAATTCAATTTGTTGATATGACATGCAGATTATAAAATCTCCATGCATTACTGTCCCGATGATGATGATGTCTTCCTCACCTGTAAGTCAAATGGCACCGTCACGCTCAAGAGCGGTCCGTAAAATGCGTCACTCATAAGGAACCATTTTCTTATAAAAAATTGTCAAAAACACGCTAGAAACCCTTTAGCAATAGAACAACCGATGTAAAATGGTTAAACAGCAAATTATTTGTAATATATATGTTCAAAAAACAAACACCACTATTACATTTTATACATTTATTTTTTTAAATTTCTAATAAGCGCTACATGTTATAATATACCCATTTTTAAGACATATTCTACATGGTCAGTAATTTTATTGTCAACTACTTTCCAAAAAACAAAATATTTATTGTAAAAGAACATCCTATTCTCACAAAAAAATATTAAACAACTATCGCGTTTCTCTAAAACCTGCAAATTATTCAACTGAAGAGTATTCTTTTACAGCTTCTTTCTCTTCTATCAGAAATAATTCTGGATAAACTGGTAAACATTTTCAACAGTACCAAGTTTTCTCATCACTGTCCTCATTGTCCTGTCACAAATCTGGCTTATATTTAGGTCTTATATATGGAGGAGGACTTGGTCTACAATGCAATCCTCTGTTTATGGTAGAATTGGGGCTGTTTGAATGGCTACAAAGATCCGGAGAAAGAGTCATGTCCCTGTTGTAGGTACGTATGTTTTCCACTGGTCTGTGGATAGTTTCTGCATGGTTTATCTGATCTGGGGACATGTCATCTATCTGGCTGGCTCTAGATGTAAATATAAATATTTTAATTGAAAAAAATCAGGTTAAGTTACAGAGAGCCTAGGTATAAACTTTGGGCCCTCTTGAATGTGCATTATGACATATTAAAGGTTATTCTATACACAAAAGATCTTCAGGGTAGTAGATTAACGTCTTATAAAATTAATAGTAACTACTTACAAATTAGAAATGTTAATAAATGTTAGGATAAATGTCGATACTTCTGATTACTGATTATTAATTACTTTAGTAAATGATAGTAGTAAATATTAGTAGGTTTACTTGTAGAAAACCTCAGGTACAATAACAGAATACAGATTAATTTAGTATATATTTTAAAATAACAAATTTTAAATGTCAACTTTTAGATTACCTACATGAGATTGAACCTGGTGTTTTCCCACAACTTAAAAAAAACAACACATTTGACAATTTTTAGCAAAGCTGATTTTGTTTTTTTTTACCTTTTGTATATATAATGTTCATAGTAATAATCGGTGCAAATGTGAAACAAGTTAAAAAAGTACTTTTCATCTTCATCATCTCTAAAATGATAAAAGTTACTGAATTACTTATTGTAAGTTTGAAAACGAACAAGTACAATAAAATGAAAGAAAACTAATTAAAAAAAAAAATAGTTCCAAAATATTTCGCACTTAGTTTAGTTATTATTAGTTTTATTTAACTATATTGCAGTAAGATAAACAAATTTGATTTATGGGAAACCCTACAATATCAGAAGTGAAACTATCATCCTAAAATTTGGGTAATTTGCAAAGGATAACTTAAGACTTATTTTTTTTTTTTTTTTTTGAAATACTTACATATCCTCACTTTCAAAACACAATAAAAATGACAATAGTAATCCTAATATTATCAATATTATTACAGGTACCAAAAATGACACCAATAGTTCATGCATATAACTTCGTCGTGGCACATCTTCTTTAGATATGGAATGCCAAATATCATTTGACTCATAATGATGTTCTTGTTCCTCCATTACTAAATTGCCATTCGTGTGGTGCATTGCAGAATTATTATTATCAACCTTTATAAAATATTAATAAACATATTTTGTCATTTAAATATTTAAAACAAAAATTACCAATCTAAAAGAACACCAATCCAAAGCAAATCCAGCTTCTCTAAAGAATCTTTCGACTGAAGTTCTTTTAAAATCTCTTGGACAAGCAGGAACCTTCCAGAGAGGCCTGACTTCTTCTTGAAGTTCTAGCAATTCTGCAGAGAATGGAAATTCACTACCAAGCCTTATAACAACTCTAAAAATAAAATCTTAAATGTAAATGCATGTAAAACTATTTTTTAATTAACTGCCATGTACCTAGATACTAGAGGTACAACAACAGTTGTATTTAAAAAAGGTAGTTCTAAAGTATTATTCCAGGCTAGGGTTGCCAACAATGTCATTTTGACCAAGTCTCTGGGTTTATATTAAAATTCTGAAATAAATGCAGCTCTAACATTTTTGAGCGGGACATTAAGTTGTTCAGGTGAGCAGGTGGATGATTTTAAATGCGAAGAGCAAAAGGTGTGTATTCCATAACATAATGTTGGCAACCCTTTTTCAGGTTGCATAAGAAATCACTTTGAATGGATGGAAAATAAGAATGAATATTTTGGCAGTTTTATATAGTTCTTTGCCATAAAGAAACGCCAAATTTTTTCCATTATAAAAATTAGATATTGACATGGATAATAAAAATATTTGTAAATTTACCCTTCTCCTTCATCCGGATTTAGAGGCTTTCTAGCTCCCAGTTCAATAGCTGAACTCAGAAATGTGACATATATATCGAATGAACTATCTCTCCATAGCTCTTTACGAAAAACATTTTTTAATGCCTCCATTTTATCCACATCAAACATATCTTTTACATTCAAATTATCTATTTTAAGATGAACTTCATAACGTGCAGAATTCAATTTTTCAGATATTATAACATCAAGATTCTCAATTCTCGTTTCGTAAGTTCTTTTATTCAAAGCTACAACCTCTAGTGGAATAGTTTCTGTAATTTTGGGGGGTACCCCATATAGAAATCCAGAATGATGCTGTTCACTGTATATATAATTTATCCAGGAAGGTAAGTCTGGAGCATTTAATAATGATGCTTGGTATACAAATTGATTGTTTGAATCTTCAAAGGTCCAATTAAACATTAGAGGATCTAATTGTATTGCAAACACCTCAGTCATGAGTACATTAGCATCTTTTGCATATGCTAATGTGAAAATACCTAAAATTATAAATTTTATAATCATTTTTTATAAGAAACTATTTCACTACACCCAAAACATAAACATCTAAATTTGGATCAATAATTTATTTTTAAATTTATCCGCAAACTCAGTAAAGGAGTAGTTCATATGTACCAAACATTAATGTATAGAACTACACCTTCAAAGTAAAGGACCATAACTAGACGAACATACAAGTAAGGGAAACTGCTGTAGCGAAATTCGTGAAGGGCAGCGAGATTCGCATCTTCCGATATGTCACGTATCAATCGAGAAGCATAATGGACCCATTTCGTCCGTCGATCGCTAGACTGCGGTTCTTATGGTGTCTCCCTATTCGATACGTATCATGTTGAGTTGGCACAAATTCCTGTTCAGGAACCATGAGTTTTTTCCCACAAGTCGTTGTCTGAACGCACAACGCACAGGTTTACCTAAGGGTCGATTCCACCGTTGTGTTAAACGGAGATTAAAATGACATTGTTAATGTAAAAATGTAATTTTAAACTTCGTTTAACACAACGGTGGAATCGGTCCTAAAGTAAACAAAATGCAAACATGAACGAAAACTTTGTTAATTTGTTTGTAAAATTATTTTTGATTAATTAATTGGATTTTTATTTTTAGATTTTCGTTGATAAGGACGTACTCAGCAGGGAACAGGGAGGGGCTGCTGCCCCCAACCCGCTAGGTCCTAGAATTAACTACAAAATTGCTTAAAGGCTCGACATAAAATAATATTGATTAGTTTTAAAAATTGATTTTTTTTATTTGTGGAACATTTATTAAATCAAAATTTCTAGTCTAGGTGTAGAATGTCTTTAATACATGTTAAACGTCAGTTTGTTGTCTGTTGTAAAAAAACGTCAAAGTCAAATGAAATATAAAATGAATAACTTAACCTAAAAAAAACTGATAATTTTCGTTGATTAATTTACTTTAGATTCATATTTTTAATGTAAAATGTTACAAAATAGCAATAAAATACGATATTTGTGTGCTGCAGCTCAATGTATATCTCACTCAAAATTAATAAGTGAAATATGTATAAAATCGGCAGTGAGTTATGTCCAGACAAGATTGAAAAAAGATGATTCAAATTTATCCAGTTTATTTGTGCCTGTTCAAGTTAAGCCGAATATAGACGACATAAATATAGGAGCTGAATTGACGGGGAGTCTTAATAAAACTGATTTATTAAAAATTTTAAATAAATTTTATCAGAAAAAAGAAATAAAGGCATTATTAAGTGACAATGGTTTAGACCGTAAGTTTTGAATATAATTTTATAAAAATTAAATTTAATTGGATAAACTATTTCAGATTACCTTCAACACCAAGCTTATGTGAGCTTCAGAAGGTATTGTTTAGAAGCTCAAAACCTTCCTACTGATATTCATGTTGTATTTAGTGATATATTACAAGGTGCAGGAAATATCACTGATATATTTCCATATTTCCTTCGGCATGCAAAGTTAATGTTTCCACATTTAGATTGCATGGACGATTTAAAGAAAATATCAGACTTAAGATCACCTGCTAATTGGTACCCTCAAGCCAGAGCCATAAACAGAAAAATCGTTTTCCATGCGGGGCCCACAAATTCAGGAAAAACTTACCATGCGTTAGAAAGATTCATGACTTCTAAATCTGGAGTTTATTGTGGACCTTTGAAATTACTGGCCAGTGAAGTGTTTAGTAAGACAAATAGTAGGGTAAGTAAATATGGAGTTAAACATGTTTAGCTTTTAATATAGTTAATTATTTTTTAGGGCACACCTTGTGATTTGGTAACTGGCGAAGAAAGAAATTTTGCTGATCCATCTGGAAATGTTTCTAGCCATGTTTCATGTACTGTGGAAATGACTTCAATTCAAAATCCTTGTAAGTTTTTGTTTCAATTACATTGAATTGAATTACATTGAACTAGAGCAGGGACAAAATGGAAGGGATTTTGGTAGGTGTAGAGGTGGTAATGTCAAACCCCATTTAGACGATTTCGAGAATTTCGTGCTGTTTGTTCCCCAGTGTCCTATCCTATATTAAAAATAATACCAAACATTTAAATTTTTACTGGCGGAATGGAGCAATTGTTTCTATGGGCTAGAAATAATTGTCTAAACAAGGAATCATATCCCAAATAATAATTCTACAAACTTTCAACAGTTGTTCACAATTTATTAAAATATTTACATGCAGTTGTTATTAGAAATAGAATTTATTCATCTTTGAGAATTATACTAAAAAGTGTTAAGTAAAATACATTAAAAAATAAAATATATATAATAGATAATTCATGTTAAGATTAGTTTAAAAGTTCAAAAAAATCTTCTATACTATAAAATATATTATTTACAAGACAATCATTAAGATGTTTTCTTAAATCATTATGACTAATTATTTGATGATAACCTGTAGTATCTTCTAAGTAATATGTTACTGAACTTATTGTAACACTTAATCCCAATATATTTTGGTGAATGCTAGCTTATTTGTAGTTGTGAAAAAGGTTGATGGATGTTGAAATTTTAATCTACTTAGTATCATATGAGTGCAGGTTTTTATTTTTCTTAAATATATGCTCATTATCTTTTATGTATAAAATTAGTTGAAAAATAAAAAGGGAAGGTAGTGTTAAAATTTGTGTTTTCTTGAAAAATTCTTTACATGATGTTGTTGGTGTCACCTTATACATGGCTCTCAGAACCTTCTTTTGCTATACAAAAGCTCTTTCAAAGTATGGTGAAGAACCCCAAAATATTAACCCATATTGTAGAGTTGAATGAACCAAACCAAAATAGCATAGTTTTAAAGTATCAAAAGATAGTGTTTCCCTTAAATTTTTGATGATATAACAAGTACTTAATTTTGAAGTTACCATTTTTATATGAGCTTCCCAATGTAATTTGGGATCTAATATTATTCCTAAAAATTTTATGTCATCAACGCTTTGAATAGTTTTTCCGTCAACGTGCAAGTAGGGTTCATAATCTGGTAAGTAATATGTTTTTGGGTAGAAATTGCATGAAGTTTGTTTTTGTTACATTTAATGCCAGACTGTTATCTTTACAATACTGGTTAAACTCAGGATATGCTTCGTTGCTACTTTGAGTGACCTGTTCAATTTGATCATCTGCTATTACAATATTCGTATCATCGGCATATTGAACTATTTGTTGAGAGCTTAAACAAAAATTACTTATATCACTTATAAAAAGAAGTGGGCCCAAAATTGAACCTTGGGGAACTCCTATTGTACATGGAAGAGGATCAGATTTTAGACTATTTGTTACAATTACTTGAGTTTGATTTATTAAGTAAGACTGTATCCATTCATAAGGTTTCCCTCATATTCCTAACCCATTCATTTTCAATATTAGCTTTGTTCGCGGTAAGAATCCTGAACCGAATTATTACTAATAGTAACGATTTCGCTGGCGCAGTAGTTGAAAAGCGTTCGCGGAACAAAAAGAACTGAACTATTGGTTCTATTCTGTGTTCGCGGTAAAATTGTTATTGATTTTGAACCGCTTGTCTATACCTGAAACACCAAGATATAATAGGGATTGCGCCGTGGTAAAAATTCAGAATTGATAATGATTCGGGCATGCGCTCAAAGTATGAATTACTAATTCTGAATCAATTTAGAATTGTTACCGCGAACGAAGCTATTAAAAGATTATGATCCACCATATCAAATGCATGGCTAAGGTCATAGAAGAGTCCCAAAATATGTTTTTTATCATTGAGTGCTTGATATATAAACTCTAGGCAATTGCAGTAGATGTTGACTTATTTTTTCTAAATCCATTTTGAGTATCTGGCAACATATTAATACTTTCAAGGTAATTAGTGAGTCTAATAGAGTATGCTGACTCAAATATTTTAGTTATTTGACTAGATATACAGATTAAACGATAATTTTCTATATTAGATGCAGATCGCTTATTTTTATAAACAGGAATTCCTTTAGATTCCTTCATATTTGGGAATAATCCCGAAACAAAGGATTCATTAATCAAATGTGATATGGGTTCAGCAATACAATAAGCAACCGATAACTGAATTTTACCATTTATTTCGTCAATACCTTCAGTGGGTTTAGAAGTAGTTTTTTTGATTATAGTGATGATTTCACTTTTATGATGTTTATCAATACTCATAGTATAGTTAGGTACAATATTATTTTTATTTACATTAGTCATTGATATAATTTACTTTTTCTAAGGGTGTTAATTTGTCATCATTTATTTGTAAGTTTAATAGGATTCAATAAGTTGTTTTTTCTTTTTCCCCTACTCTCGTTTATTATATTCCAGGATTCTTTCATTATGTTATTACTTTTTAAAATACGATCATTATTTTTTCTTCTCAAATATTGTTTTGTTATTTTTTGATACTCTTTTTTTAAATTATTGTAACGTTCTGTATAATATGTAGAATTTATTTCTTTTCTTTAACCTGTTCATTTCACATAATAGATTATGTAACTCTTTAATATGAGGTGGAAACTGATTTTTTAATTTTTATGGTTTTATCGCTGTCTTTGTTTTCGTAAATACAATATTGTAGTGGTATAGGAATGATTCATAAAAGATAGAAAATTTATCATTAAAATTAGTAGATGTGTATACTTCACGCCAATTTTCAACTGATAAAATATTTATAAAAGTGATTGCGTTAGGATCACTTAAATCTCGTTTATATCTGTATTTAAATTCGTTATTTTCATAATTAGGTAGTTTAATCAAACATAATAAGTAGTTATGATCAGACAAAAAAGTATCATATACACCTACCTTATCTACATCAAAATTGGTAAAAAAAATTATCTAAACAAGTTGAGGTTGTACTTGTTGTTCTCGTTGCAACATTTATATGATGTTTAATATTAAATTCCTTCAATAAGTCAATTAAAACAGTTTTTGATTACCTTCAATCAAAAAATCTACAATATCACCACAGATAAAATAGTGATTGTCGTTTTGATAAATATTATGAATTAATAGCTCTAGCTGATTTATAAAAGTAATACAGTTATACAGTAATAATAAATAAAAAAAGTTTAGAATCGATCTTTATTTTTCCACCACATACTCTAAATTCACCTTCTATACACCACTTATGTAAATTAATTGATTCAAAATTTGCAGCAATACTTGTTTTCATAAATATATTAGCACCACCTTTTTCTTTATTTATCAGTGAAAAATATGATACTAGCTTAAAATCGTCAATTGAGGTAGCTTGTAAATGGTTAGAATCAAGCCAATGTTCAGTAACACATAGAATACATACATTTTGTTTCTGTAAAATTAAATTTAGGTCAAAGCATTTATTGGCAAAACCTCCCTGTATATTGATATGCATTAAAGTAATATTTAACTGTTGGGAACTGCAAAATAGTAATTCATTATTTTCTTTCAAAAAGTGGTTCTCCTTGAGGTCCCTATTTTATCAGGTTTGAAGTAGAGGCTAGGTTTGAAAAATTTTCTTCACTCTTATGTGATCTCTGGTTCTGTGTATCTTCAAGAAATCGCTGACCTTGTTTATAGTTGAATCGGGAATAAATTATATTTTTCTGCCAAAAATCTGATTTATATACTTGCTCCTGAAAATGAGGATCTATTCCCACTAGAAAAGCTTGATTATTCTGTCTTACAAAATATGTGTCTAGTTTCTTCTCATAAATGTCTTCTGCGTTTGTGGGTTTATGAATGTATTTCTTAACATTCTCTTCATTTACAGTGTCTGATACTCTAGATACAAAGAACCAAATTTTTTTGTTTGATTTTTCCCTTTTTAAATTCATCATCACCTTCTCCACTTCCCATAATTGTTTTGTTTTTTCTCCTTTGCCGTCTTGTTACTGTAAAATAATCATTCTCATGACTCCCCTCATTGGTATCAGCTGCTAGATTTATTATTTCATTAGTTTTTTGTAGGGTTTGAATTTTCATTAGTTCTAATGCAACTTGTTTCCTTTGGAGGAATGAGTCATCCTGTACAGGGGCATTCCTATAATCGCTTGTGTTTTGTTTGGTATTAAATATTTATTTCCAACAGGTATAGTCACACTTTCAGTTTTTGTTTGTTTTGGTTTTTCTATAAAAACTGGTTTCTTATTATCACTGATAGATAAGTTTTGATTTTTTATTGTCAACTCTTATAAATTTAGGATTTATTTCGTTATATTCTGTTTGTAGATCAGAATATTTCGTTTTTTCATTTTTTAGTTCAACTTTTAAGATTTCTATGTTTTCACTCATTAATTGGTTTGCTAGTTTTTGTTCTTCTACTAGTAATTTTAAAAAGTTATAAGCATCAATGCAAAATATATCACCTTTACTTTTTTCTTGATCCATAGTCTTAGATTTTTCAATAATTTTTGGTTTACAGCATCTTATGATAGCATTTACTCTTTGTGCACACGATGGATGATATTTCAAGTTACAGATTACACATTTTACACTAGCAGTTACTGATTTTTTTACAATAATTACACTCATCAATATTTTGCGCGTGCGGTTCAGTCGGCGCCATCTTGAAGAACTTCGACTTTGACGACTTCGAGAATTTCGTTTTCTCTTCATTGTTTTATGCAATTTTCATCAATTGTTAAAAGGATACACCTTTAAAGAAACGACTTCTCTGGTTTTGCCTCTGCTTGTTCCTGGGAATTGTGTGTGTATTATGTTTGTTTTCTAGATGAAGTAGCTATTATAGATGAAATACAAATGATAAAGGACCCCCAAAGAGGTTGGGCTTGGACAAGGGCCCTATTGGGGCTAACTGCAGAAGAAATTCATCTTTGTGGAGAAGCAGGCACAATTGATTTGATCAGACAAATTTGTTTAACTACTGGTGAAGATATAGAAGTTCGACACTATAAAAGATTAACACCTTTGAAAATTGAAGAATCTGCAGTAGGTTGGTAAATAAATAATAGTAAAATTATATTTTTATGACACTTTTTATTTTTAAGGTTCACTAGAAAATGTCATGCCTGGTGACTGTATAGTATGCTTTAGTAAAAATGACATCTACAGCGTATCTAGAGGCATTGAAGCAACGGGTAAAGAAGTAGCTGTAATTTATGGAGGTTTGCCACCAGGAACAAAGTTAGCACAAGCAGCTAAGTTTAATGATCCCGAAAATAGTTGTAAAATATTGGTAGCCACAGACGCCATTGGTATGGGACTCAATCTGTACGTTAAAAGTTAAATTATTTTTAATAAACTAATAAAATTCTTTGAGATCTGTTTTTAATAAAGAATAAAAATAAATTCTTAATTGCCATTTTTAAATTATGGGTAATAAAGGTAAACATTTTAACTATCAATGTTATTATTTATTTTAGGAGTATTAAAAGGGTAATTTTCTATTCATTAATTAAAGCCAGCATGAATGAAAAAGGAGAGAGAGAAATGGATACAATATCTGTGTCTTCGGCTTTACAAATAGCAGGCAGAGCTGGAAGGTGGGTAGAATTCTATTAAAAAAAATTGCATGTTTTCCTTAGTGATTCATAAAATGTATATTTAGGTATGGAACCCAATGGCCAGAAGGATCTGTAACGACTTTCAAACAAGAAGATTTGCCTACACTAAAATATTTATTAGCTTCCCAACCAGAACCCATAATTCAAGCGGGACTTCATCCTACAGCAGATCAAATTGAGTTGTATGCTTACCATTTACCAAATTCTACGCTTAGTAATCTTATGGTATGTTTATTTCATGGCTATATTATTTAATAAACTTAAACTTAAAAAAGTACTGCATACATATACTCATATTTACTAATTTATAAAATGAAATTAAATTAAAAAGTCAATTTTTCTCAAAATTTCTATAAAAAATTGGCTTCTCTTTTTCTTAATCCATTTTTGGGATATATCCATGGACAATTTACCCAACTAACTTGTTAGAGGGTTTAACTAAAAAGTCAATTTTTCTTCATACTCCAAATTTCTATAAAAAATTGGCTTCTTTTTTGGGCTACATCCATAGAACAATCTACCCAACTAACTCATTAGAGGATCTTTGTATTGTTCTAAGATATATAGCTTTATTAAAAAAGTTGCATCCTAATAACGAGTATAAAACAGAAATATTGAATAATAAAATTATATTAACATAAGGTACTTTAAAAAAATATTAAATAATTAGAGTATTTGTTTTTAAGTAAAAATTACACATTATTAAAATTACACACTTAGTGCTTTTGAAATTGACAAATGATGTTTGAAATTAAAGTAGGGAAACACTGTACACTTTTGAAAGTTTCTGACTCACTATGCAACTTCAGAACATCGTTACAACTCTTTCTCACAAAAACCCACAGCAATATAAAAACAAGGATTACATCATCTTAAATATAATTGATTTTTATTCTCTTATTAACATTTTACATCTAATTTACACTTTATTCTTAATAAATAGAATTTTTTTAGGACATATTTGTTAATTTATCAACAGTAGATGACTCTCTATACTTCATGTGCCAAACTGAGGATTTTAAATTTTTGGCAGATATGATTCAACATGTACCACTTCCGTTAAGGGCTAGGTACCTATTTTGTTGTGCTCCTATTAACAAAAAGATGCCTTTTGTTTGTACCATATTTTTGAAGGTACAGTCAAATAGATATAAAAATTTTAATATTATTAACATACTGAAAATTTTTAGTTTACAAGACAGTACAGCAAAAACGAAACAATATCTTTTGACTGGTTATGCAGAAATATAGGGTGGCCTTTACAGCCTCCAAAAACGATATTAGATTTAGTACATTTGGAAGCAGTATTTGATGTATTAGATTTATACTTATGGTTAAGGTAAGATTAAAAAAAAAATTGTCATCTTTATGTAGTAGTTTTCATTTTTTGTCTATAAAATCTTTTTTTGTTTCAGTTATCGTTTTCCTGACTTATTTAACGAACCCAATCTTGTGCGGGATGTGCAACGTGAACTAGACCAAATTATACAACAGGGTATTGTTCAATTGACCAGATTGTTGAAAAATTCAGAAACAGTTATAAGTTCTGGCACGGGAGATGCAGACGATGAAGAATTTTTAATGAACAGGCAGAAACAGTCTTATTTGAGAGGTAAGTCTGCTCTAAAGTATAAATACTCTAGGAAACCAAAATATTTACGCTGTTGCTAGGTATACCCTAAAGTGTACACAAATCAAAAATTATATACACGCGAAACGTCATATTGCTGTGATGGGAGGTGTTTGTGTGAGTGCGTCTTATTTGTTTTCATTTACGCCGTGACTAGCAGTAGTATTTTATAAACCTTAGAAGCAAATTTCACATACATGAACAAATAGTAATAATGCCGTGACAACAAGAAAACGAAGCAACGGCTTCTCGTAGGGTGGCGGCTTCGTCACCACAAAAAAATTTCAATTCATACCTAACTACGCCGACCGGCATAAACACCAACGGCCTGCACACAGCTCACCTACTTTGTCAAGACGTTTCACGTGTATATAACTTTTTGAATTGTGTACAAGTTAGCGTGTACCTAGACACTGTGAAATATTTAATGGTGAGAATATCAACATTGTCAGGAGATGACTGTAAACTGTTTGATTAATTACCATCGTAAACTGATTAATTGAAATATTTTTTAATTGTTTACTGATTACAATATCGTCGGTTGAGAAAAATACTATCTTATAAGTCCTTTTCTGATTAGTTTTGAATATTGCGCATTTGGAAGTTTTATAGCCCTATAACGAAGATTTAGATTAGATTAGTTGGACGTTGTTTGTCCTTTTTAGATCTATTGTAAGACTCCGTTTGTTTTAGAGTATGTCATCTAGCTTAGTCTTTTTCATTAGACTTAGTAGCTTTGACAGTGGCTCTCACATGTAGTTGCATGCGTTTGGTTTTTCTTCGCCCAGTGTTAGAAACATCATTCCAGCCAGGCCTTCACATTGGCACAGGACGTGGAATGATGTTTACTGTTCTTCTTTACAGAACCCGCACAAAGTTGCTTCTTCTGCAGGATTGATAACACTCATAATCATTTTGAGGCGACAGTATCCAGTAAGAAGACCTACTGTTATCCTAACGATTTGACGCTTTTGATCCAGTGGTCTTTCGTGAACTTGTCCGATGGTTCCTTGATGGACTGTTTGGCCTGTCTCAGTCTTGGATAGTTGTTATACCATTTCTGAGACTCTTTGCATCCATTGTTTGATGGATGCCTTGAACAATTCCTTGGCAACTCCACAAAAGGGTTCGGGGTCTGTCACGGCCTTATCGGATTCTTCTCGGGCTAATTTGTCGGCCTTTTCATTGTCCTGATATCCCTCATGGCCTGGCACCCAGGCTAGGGTCACCTTGTTTTGACTATTTAGCTCTGCCAGGTCTTCTAAACAGTATTTCACCAGTCGTGATTTGATTTCTGGTGAGAGAATTGCCTTTAAAGCTGCTTGGCTATCAGAATATATGACAATAGTTTTGCCTAATACTTGCTGATTTAATATTTCTCTTGCACAGTGTTGTATGGCTATTAGTTCAGCCTGAAACACTGTTGCATATTTTCCTAAACTCAGTGAAATTGTTGTTTTCGACTTGGGTCCATAGATTCCAGCACCGGCTCCTTCTTTGGTTGTGTACAAGACGAGTTCAGCCTGTACGGGAGGTCCCTGTTTCTAGGATTCTCGGGCTGGTATTTGAATTTGAAAATTTCTTTCAAATTTGTATGTGGTTATGGCTTTATCAGTAGGCATATCTAGAATATTATCCCTTTTTACTTGCTGATATAGCCTTGTCTGGTCGGCGCTATGTAGTCGGCCTATTGGGTTTTGGCCTGTGAATAGCTGACCTTGTTTCTCCTTATATGGAGATGTGTAGTGGCACGAGATTTAATAATACCTCCATTGCTGCAGTTGGCTTAGTGTGTATGGCCCCAGTATCACTTAGACAGGCAAGCCACTGATTGCCAGTGAGTTGGCCTATTGCACTTGCCTGCACAGTTTTGGTTACCCACGCCACTGCGCCATAGGTTATCATGGGTCTTATCACCCTTGTTTTTCCCATACATACGAGAGCTATTGTAGCTTTGTAAGCGAGTTTTTTGAGATGTTGATTCCACGTCAGCCTTTGGTCAAATATGACTCCGAGGTATTTGGCTTCTGTGACGAATGGGATAACTATGTTGTTTAGTATTAGTGGTCTTAGTCCTGTAAGTACCTTTTTTTGTGAATGGTAAACTGTCGTTTTTTGTGCGTTAATTGACAATTGTTCCTTTTTGCACCAGTTGTTCACTATGTTTAGAGCTGTTTGAGATCGCTCTAAGACTGTGCCTGCAAATCGCGCCCTGACGATAATTGCTAGGTCGTCTGCATATCCTAGACACTGGTAGCCTTCTGTGGACAATGTTTTGAGTAAGTCGTCCACAAGAACTGACCACAGTATTGCAGATAATATTCCTCCTTGTGGGCAGCCCCGTGTAACTTTTGCCTGTATGGTTGCCTTTCCTAGAGTGGATAAAATGATCCTGTTCTCTATAATGAAGACAATTCTAGCCAATTTTTGTACCCATATGGCTTCTTAGGACATTGGATATAGTATTGCACAAGCTAGAATTAAATAAGACCTAAAATATTATAACAATAATATAAAAAAAATGGACCTAGGGTAGTTTAAATGAACATAGGATATTTTAAATGGGCATAGGATAGTTTTCTTCTCAACCCACGATATGTGTTTTTGGTTTTGGTCACATCTTCTACAACCCAATCATAAATACTGTTTGTTTACACACGTTATAAATGGTTAGAAATTGCGTCGTTGTTTGTGTTACTGATATTACTGCCATAGGCGTATCATTAACAGGAAAATGGTACAGAAATAAACTAGTTCAGTTAAATTTTTTATTAGAACAAAATTACAATGGTGTATTATTTAATAGCTAATAATAATAATGGTAATTAAACAATTAATAAATATATGACAAATATTCACAGTTCGAATTAATTAATTAATAATTTAAATGCACACACCTACACTATGAGTTCTTTCTTTCATGTACATTACTCATGAGCAGTACTAGAGCCAATCCTGATTCTAATGAACGTTCTTTTTTAACGGTGCTTGTTGATTGGGGCAATTCCTACATGTTCTTCCTTCTTCCCTCAAGCACTTGCTCAATATCAGCAGTGGGATTTTTTAGAATACCTATTATGTATTTTCCTACGACCACTTAGGTTAGTGACACATATCACACTATATAGTCCTATGGAAAGTGCCCTATATCACACGCGTATGAATAAGAATTTACTTTCCACCCGTGTACGAATATGCTACTTTCCGCATCAGCTGTCAAAAGATGTCAAACTCGTCATTTCTATTTGGATCTACATAATGTCCATATTAATACTAAAATCGATATGATTGTTAAATTATTGAAATTGTTGTAAATTAGATCCTAGATCTTTAACAATTTATATTAAAATAACTAAGTTATGTTTGCTTTTTATTCTGGTTAAACACATAACCGATTAGATCCTTTAATCGACGCAAGGCCTATTAGCTCAGATGGTTAGAGTATCAAACTTTATCAACTTTACCATTTGAGACCTGGCGAGCGACCGCGTTCAAATTCTTGCAGGAACAGAATTTTTGTTTTTTTTTGTTTAGAAAATATGAAAATACGGTTATTGTTGATTATTTTTTTAAACACATTTTAATTATTATAATAATAACCTGGTTTTGCATTTTTTGATGAAAGTATTTTGTGGTCGTAGGAAAAATATTGTACATCACTTGTGTGAAAAGTGATTTTCCACACTCGTAATGTAATATACTATTTCTATGTGGTAGGTCAGAGATGGACCATAGCATAGTTAACTTAAACAAGTAATTAAAAAGAAGTTTGAGGTGTAATAAAGATTAATAAACTATTTAAAATAATCTTGATATTTTCAGGACCAAAATCAGGTCAATTAGGCAAAGGAAAGCTGACAGAGCGCCTGCTAGCTCAAGGAATTTTAACGCCAACAATGTTGCAAGAATTGAAAAAGGAATGGAATAAAGGTCCTGTACTGAGAGACATTATGGAGGAGGAACCTAAAAAAATTAGAAGAAAAAGGAAGACTACGAAATAATTATAAGTAGTTATTATTTTAAAATTATATTTTGTTTTTAATTAGGATTATATTAAATAAATATACGATATTTTTAAATCTTTCATTTTATTCCATAATAGGTAAGTAGATATAGTTGTTTCAGCTATACTAGAAGATATTACGATCTTTAAAATTAATAAAAATTAAGTACCACATTTATAGTGCCATCTTGTCAATTACTAACGGCTAGAGTACTCAGATTAAATAAATGTTCATCTGAGCTGGAGTATTGCAATGTAAGTACTAGTGTTGCATAAACATCGATAGTAATTTCTATTGATAGTATCGATAGTTTTTGATACAAACTACCGATGTACTATCGATAGTTTTGAAAGGTATTCGAAAAGAACAAAAAGCAAGTAAATAAACACTGATATTTCCCCGAGAACAGTATTGTGTATTTGTCTTACACTTTGCAGTTAAATCAAATGGAAATGAATAGGGGGATTAAAGAGAAAGTGTTACCAAGCTTATGAGCACCTGTTATGGTGTCATGCACGTCGTATTGTTGGGAAACAGCGAAATGCTAGAACTTCTATTTAGTTTGCTTGCTTTTTGTCTTGTCATAATTTATTTCCTTATATTAGATTGTTTCTTATTTTCACAGATCCAGTTAATCCATTGACAAAAATATTGCGTTAGCAATTGGCATCCTAGTTTAATATTGCTCGATGAACAAGGATGCAAATATATGAGGGCACCCTTTTCATGTGAAATGCTACTCGACTCGACGGCCGGCTCGGGTTGTCTCTTAGAAATGTTTTGACTATCGATAGTTCTATATAAAACTATTGATTGTTCCGATAGTTAATTTACTATCGATATACTATCGATGTTTATGCAACACTAGTAAATACCATCTAGTTACAATCAGCGTAAATCAAAAAAGCTTTTCTCTTTGTGGCTTTTATACTGGTGTTTATCAGCAGCATTTTTGGTAAAGTTGGTTGCCTATACTTAGGGAAAATCTTTCCAAAATGTTATTCGTACAACTACTGCACAAGATAATTGAGTTTGATGAAACACTCTAGAATAAACTAGATCTTTCTATCAGGATAACAGAAGAGCAAGGAGATTGATTTTACTTTACCTTAATAAATTATACTATTCGGTATCGGCCAACGAATACCTTCTAACATCCCTAGGCACAAGTGCATGTATAAAACTACAGAGCCAGCACTAAAGCAAGTAGAAAAGTAACAAAACTACCTTTTCCATTTATACGACCCAATCGCGTTGTAACGTTCGCCAGGCCGTATAGCCTGACATCGTTGGTTCTGTTCCTATTCTCTTTGATGCTTCCGTACTTGGCAGTGACTCTGTCTAGTCGTAGTCAAGTATTTGTTTGCTGTAGTAATGTCAGGATAACTTAAAAGCTCCCTGGCAGTTCCTTGTTTCATCCCATCTTTCCTTAAATTTGACAAGGGAATGTTCTGTAATTAGGTCTGTCACTACCGATTTTGTGAGGCCAATAGAAGGGCCAGGTCCAAAAAGTCAAAAAGTATTTGGTTGGCTGCTTTCTTGGCCAGTAAACCAGCAAGACGGTTACCTTTCGATGTGGCGTGACCTTTGATCCATCTTAAGATGACCACGTCGTTGATGAATACTTCGGCCAAAACTTCGTGCCATTCTAGTACTAACCCTGAATTAATTCGTGGTCTGTTCAGGGTGAGTAGTGCGTGTCTGCTATCTGTATAGATGAGCATGTTCCTTCTAGTGATATTGTTTCTGGTGATTTTTTTTTGAATTTGTTCTAGATTATGGATAGCTGTAAATTTTTGGGTTTTTGGTACTCAGACAACTGCACCATATGTTAGCATAGGTGTTATGACAGCAGTGTAAGTCCATGCGACGACTGTGGGGAGAAACCCCAGGAGCGCCCCATGGTTCGTCGGCATTGTTCATAAGAAATGTATGTTTTTTGACCCTCTTTTCTGAATGCGAGTTCTATGTTAACTTGCTGTCAAAGATGAGACCTAAGTACTTCACCTCTGTTGCAAAGTTTAGTTTTGTGGTTAGGAGTTCTGGAGGTTTTAATTCCATTTTTATCCCTTTCCTTGTGAAAAGGACCATTTCAGTCTTCTTAGGATTGATAGACAGTGAATGGTCCTTACACCACTGTTCTATAATTTTGAGAGCTACCTGCATTCTTTCGCAGAGTATGTTCTTAAAATTCCCTGTTTGCAGAATGACCAGATCATTTGCATATGCTATTGTGTAGTAACTGTCATTATTGAGGCGGCTGATGAGGGTGTCGAGGACCATGTTCCACAGTAGAGGTGATAGCACCCCTCCCTGTGGACATCCCCACGCAACCAAAGCCTCTTATATTCACATATTCTACATTTATGTTTATTGCTCGCTTTGAGAGCATGCTATATATCCACCTACTAACCATCTGTGGAACATTCCTATCGGTTAGTGAGTGTATTATCTTGGGAGAGGTAGTTTTATCAAAAGCACCTTCTATGTCTATGAAAACATCCAAGGCGGGCACCTTATTGTCCAGGGATCTCTCTATCCGGCCGGCAACTAGATGAAGGGCTGAATCAGTGGATTTGCCTGGGGTGTTTGGGTGTAGTGGTGTTGTTGTAATCACCGCATCCCTTATGTACCTTTCGTACAGCCTTTCCAATATCTTCATGAAAAACGATGTCAGACCAATTTGTCGGTATGTTTTTGGGACAGTGTAATCTGTCAGGTTTGGGTATGAATACCACTTTTACCCCTCCATTTTTTTGGGGATATACCTCTGAGCTAACGAGGATCCGAATATACCCACCAGGTGCGGTGTGAGTTCTTCCAGACCCCACTGAAGTAGGGCTGGATAGATACAGTCAGGTCCTGGCGATTTAAATGGTGAGAAGCTATATATTGCCCATCTAATTTTATCATAGTTTGCAATGTGTGTGGCAGTTTGCCAATCATAGACAGATGGGTTGTATTCTTCCTCTGCCCAGTCGGTTACGTATGTGATGACCGAGTCTGGGAAGTGTGTTGACAGAAGAAGCTTGATGCTATCTTCGAGGTTGGCAGTTTTCTTGCCATCCTTTTTGATAAGCGCACCATCGGGTGATTGGTGTAGCGGTCTATCGCGCTTATATTCATTTATAGGCGAGTTTATGAGTCCGAGACTGCTGGGCTTCGAATCCCAGACCAGACCATGTGGATTTTTAATTAAATTGCATGGTTCGGTTTAGGATTTGATGTGTGCCGTATTAATTGAAATTCAATTTCTGTTGATATGACATGCAGATTATAAAATCGCCATCTTTTTGAGCCTCTTGGAGAATGTGGGCATTGGTTGTGCTGTCCGTATTCCTAGGGTTCCGAGATAGCGTTGAGGTCGGCAACAACAAGTTTATTTTGAATGTTAACCATGGGGGTCTGACATCGAAATATTATCAGACATTTGCCAGTTTAGAATTGATTTATAGATACCAGTTATGGATAAAGTGACATCTATTAGTGATTGACAGCGAGAGTTTAAAAATGTTGGTGTTGTACCTTAATTGGGATATTAGAAGGTATTATTCGTTGGCTGATACCGTATATTTGTATAAACGTGAAACAAATCAGATAGAGAGGGATATTTGATGATAACAGAAGAGTTTATTAAATCAAACAATTTTAAATGTAAAGTCTTTTATTATAAATTTAGTATTTCTTAAAACTATGACTAGAACAAAGATCTTACAATAATTGAGTATCCGGCTATTACAAATAGCATTATAATTATATGGAATTTTTATATTTGCGATGTCACTCATCAAAAATGTACTCATTATAAATTTCTTAGTTTATTTGGTTAACTCCAGTGTCGGATTGGGCCGTCGGTCAAAAGACCGATAGGTCCTCGTTCAAGCAGTGTGCCCTCGTTCAGGCGGGCTCTCGGTCAGACAGCGGGCCCATGAAGAAGAAATTCAGTAATACATGAGAGGACCTATTTTTTTGCTCCTTAATGAAAATCAGACCACGAAAAAAGTAAAAAGGTGGACTCTTCTCTCTTCTGACCGGTAGGCCCTGGTGGTCCCAATCCGACACTGGCCAACTCAAATTTAAAAGCTACTATTAGAGACTCATCAATTGTCAGAAAATATCAATATTTACATATAGATTCACTATATACACTGGTTTTTTGTATTGAACAAAAAATAAAGATTGTATAGTTGGGTCAGTTAGGTTTTCGCCTTAGACATATACAACATGTTAACCATATCGCCCAGCAGAATAAAGATGAGACGCTTAATTCCTAATTATATTTAGGCTTTCTGCTTGCCCTAATTGGACGCATGGTTACACCTCTACCGGTAGTGGAATAGGAAGTATGCGACCTATTTTAGCGTGGGCAAATATCTTATACACCGAAATGTATTTTTTTCGCGCCTGTTTACCCAATTCTTTCACATAGTCCAAGTGCATACATTAAATAATTGTTGAGTAATTACAAAAAAAGTACTTTTAAAAAATTACCGCAACGTATGTCCACGCCGCGATTGTATGCAAAGTATCTTCTCGGTGTCTAGATACTTAACAACAAAAATAATGTTGTCAAAAAGCATACGTTTAATAATTGTTCTTTATTACATTTCTCCTTTTTTACAAGTTCATTTAATTTAATAGATGATGTGTCAATAGCATTCGTTTTCTAGACCGTTCACTGGAGAGAGGTTTAAAAAGCTAACATATTGTATACTTTTCTCTATCGTCATGTTCAATGCAGTGTAGACTTAGCTATACAACTTTTTATTTAAGTATACATTTTGTGTTGAACTAACACATATATAATGAATCGTTATAAACATTATACTTCATTCTTCTTACAATCCTTTGGCAGTTGATGATTTAGGTAAAATTCGTTAGGTACTATTTTTTAAATGCTGTAGCTAACAGGGCATCTAAAACTGCGTTACAAAAGGATGGTTTTTCTATGGTGACCTATTCAGATGTGTATAAGTTAAAGTGTTTTTAATTGGCTAGGACTAGCTGGATAGTATACAAACTATACAAATGTCTGGCTATTTTGATGGTACATCATATTTTTACTAA